TTTAGTAATGTCTAATCTGCCCTAGAGAGATCACAGTAGATTGGTTTATCTAGTGACATGCACATAGGCTGTTGCGTAGGAGGAGATTGATGTGGACGCTGATTCTTTTTTCGATTTTTATGGTATATGATCGTGTCCTTTTATTCACGAGCGAAACCATCTCCTACTTTCGAGATACATAATCCTGATTAATCAGAGCTTGTTTTTTTGAAATTAATCATCTTTGCTTAATTTAATTTGATGCACTATATTTTGGAGCCAAACATCCTCAAGAATCACGTTTTCAATTTAGGGAAAATGACACAAATAGTCCGAACTTTGACTTCAATGTGCAATTTGGTCCCGAACTTTTAATTTGTTCAATGTAGCCCTAAACTTTAACCCAATGTTCAATGTGGCCCACGAAATTTCAATTTGTTGATGTGGTCCCTTAATCTTTCGAAACGTTTCAATATAGTCCCGAACTTTATAAAAATGTTTAATATAGTCCTTGAACTTGAATCAATGGAAGGACTACATTGAACATTTTATAAAGTTCGAGGACTATATTGAACATGCCGAAAGTTCGTGACCACATTGAACAAATTGAGTTCGTGGACCACATTGAACATTGGGTTAAAGTTCGAGAATACGTTGAACAAATTAAAAGTATAGGGATCAAATTACATATTGAGTCAAAGTTTAGGGACTATTTGTATCATTATCCCTTCAATTTATTGGTAGTACGTGGGAATAAATTCCGCGAGGCCAACTACAGTTCCCTGCATCGCTGTCTACACCCAAAAGCATTTATGAGGTTTTGTTATCGCATTACTTTATCTTGCCTTTTATGCACAAAGGCAACGGGTGGATCCCAAGAAGAATAGAAATAGATGTAGAGGACCCGAGTGTGTATAAATAAATCATAGAAAATATTCTGCTTTTCTTGTATTTACTTTTGCAAATTTTCTAATCAGATTTATCTAATATCAAATATAACCTTGGTCGCCGCCAAAGTATAATGGGGATATAATATGAGGATTGTCACGTGGACGTGTGTGGAAACATTAGAAGAACGTACACGTGGGAATATGACATGGATAAAATTTAGGTTACGCGGTTGCTCATGTTGACGATACTTCATCTATGTCACATTATGACATTCCCAAAAACATTAGCTAGGTTTGGCTGGATCCGGTGTTCGAGGGCATGCCGTTAAATAATCATGTACTGAGTATACTAAACTCCCGACGACATAATTCACTTGATTAAGGGTACGAAATGGATGCTTCTTAGGTCATCATTGCAACCGTATTTAAATAGGTCTGGCTGGATTCAATATCTGAGGGCGTGTTATATGTCACAAGTATACCGGTTTTGGGGTTTAGGTGATTAAAATATTAGTTTGGGGTAAATTTATCACGGATGTATCAGTTTAAAGTTTTTGGCGGTCAAAAAATTAATTTAGGGTAAATTTGTCACGAGTATACCAGTTTGGGTTTTTCACGGGATTGACCCAAAAAAAATACTAAAGACCCTCTCTCTCTCTCTCTCTCTTTTTTTTCCGAAGAACATTTAACCTTAGTAAATTCAATCGAGAAATATTAAATTTAGCATAAAGGATGAGGAAATAGTCTCTTTTTCTTTTTTTCTTTTTCTCTCGGAGGCCCCTCCCCCGGATTTTGCGAGAGACGGGGTGCATGTTGCAGAGGGAGGTGGCAGGGTCCGTTTCGGTGACACCTGAGAAGCTTCATTAACTCCTCCCGTATTTCTCCTTTCGGGCATATCCCATTTGACTCCGCCATCGAACCAGAGAACAAGCGCAAGTCTCCCTCTCTCTCTCTCTCGTTCTGTACACGCAACAGCTGGAAGCTGGTGAAACCATTTCGGGAGGGGGTCTTTTTCATTAATGGGCTGGGCTCTCTGGCGAGCAACGATCGACCTTTCTTAACTGAGGAAAGGAGGGAGGGGGAGAGAGCAGCAGGCATTTAATGTTGGCTTAACAGGGGGCTGGATGGGGGGGATCACAGGATGCGTGCACGCTTTTATTCCACCACAGGGACGACGACGACGACGATGGCGATGCAGAGGAAGCAGAGGCGTTTTTACCCTTTTTCTTGGTCTGGAGCACTGAGGTTGGGGGGGGGGGCCTTTGAGTTCATTGGGAATAAGGGAAAATGACCAGGAATGGATCGAGTTGGAGGAAATCGGCAAGAGCCAGAGGTGACTTCTGAACACAGAGAGAGAGAAGAGAGAGAGAGAGAGATTCTGTGCGTGGTGAGTTGATTGATTCCGATGACCAATTTGCCCCCGTTTTCACGTCAGGAGGGGAAAAAGGGCAGGAGAGGGTGGGGGCCTTGGGCGAAGTACAGGCGCAGGCTGCGCGTGTTTATCATCATTTGATGCTTGAAATCAATCTCTGCCAGCTTTTTTTCTCCCTTTACCCTTTACCCCCCTCGTCCTCCGCCTCGCCATTGCAGGCGGAGAAGATGACCTCGGATTCTCCCTTCCTTTCTAGCTCAGCAGCTAAAGCTATACCAATAATGAAGGGAAAAATTTCAATAAAAACTTAAAGTGTATCATTTTCTCGAATAAAAATTTCAAGCGCACTTTATTTCAAATAAAAAAATTAAAATGTCATTAGTTTCTTAAACGAGAGCATGAAATAACTATAACAATTTCAAATAAGGACTTAATCTCGCTAGCTAATATTTTGACCGATCGAGAATATTTTCTCCTGAACACGATTTTAACCTAAAATTTATTTAAATTATATTAAAAATTAAAAAAATATAAAAGTTCTAAAAAGATACAGGTGAGAGGGTTAGCTGGGCAACGCTCCCACCTGTGGCTGTCGCCCCATTGCCGGTGGGGCAGTGGCAATGGTTGGCGAGGTCGCCAGTGCCTCAGTGAGGATCAAAGGCCCTCGCGCAGATCTGGTGGCCCTCCCTTAGATCTGGGCAAGGACCGACGACCCTCACCCGAATCTGGGAGAGGGCTTGTAGCCCTCTCCCGATTCTAGTGAGGATCTCCGGCCATCACTGACGCTCCACTAGCAATGGGGCGGCGGCCACAGGCGGAGGAGGAAAAAAGAAAAAAAAAAAGGAAAAAATACAAAAAAAAGGGAAAAGAAACAAAATGCCTTAACTAGCCGGTGAGATTAGGCCTTTTTATGAGATTAACATAGCTACTTTAGACCCTCGTTTGAAATAAGGTTCATTTCAAGTTCTTGTTTGAAACAAAGTCCAGTTCAAGCCTTTATTCGAGAAAATGAGAACATTTCGAACATATATTTGCAATTTTCCCATAAATGGTGCTCGATAGACAAAGACATCAATTTTGCGGTCCATTCTTAGATGGGCTTGGCCGACAAATAAGACAACACACACAATCCTGACTTGCGTTTGTGGCTTTGTGGGCCTCAGGATCTGCTAAGCGGGGTTGGCTTATTGGGCCGAGCTTCGGTGAACAGCGCAAAACATCATCTGAAGCTTCCGAATGGGGCACGTGGAAGATGTACGAGGAGTGACAGAGGCAGTGCCTCGGCTACCAACAGCGACGGCCCAACTCCCCGCTCGCTCTCCACCAGCTCGATTGAGTCCACTTAGAAAATTACCAAAAGGTTTTAAACCTAATATACTTATATCGATTAAGTCCTAAATTTTTAATTGTAACATTTGCACGTTTTGTTAATTAAGTTTATCCGGTCAATTATGATCGGAAATCGTTATCGTTGACACATGGCGTCGTATATGGCACGACCAACACTGACGTTGACATTTTTTTTATATATATTTTAATTTTTTCTTTTCTTTACTTTTTTTTACTAAGGGCGGACAAGAGTGGCTGACTCACCGAATCTAGGCGAGGGGCCCTCGCCAAGACTCAGATTTGGGCAAGGGGCTGTGCGCCCTCGCTTTGGCCGGCGAGGGCGTGGCGGCCCTTGCCCAGGCCCTCCCTGGCCATAGTGAGGGCATTGGGCGAGGGTTGGCTGGCGACCCTTACTGATCCATAGTCCAAAAGACAAAGACAAAGAAAAGATGAGAATATATTCAAAAAAATTATAAAAAATGCCCACATTAGCTATTTTCGGCCTAAATTGGCCGAATGAACTCGATTAGTAATATGTAAAAATGTTAACGACTAAATTAATGCAATTAAAAAGTTTTAAACTGAACCGATAAAATTATTTTAAGACTTTTTTGATAATTTTCCCGAGAGTCGAATGTCGTGACTCTCGGATTCGAAAAGCTTCGTTATCCTTCTACCCTTTATTCCTCTGCCAGATGTAACCTGAATAAACGGCTCTTCAAGCTCGTCCGAGAGAGAGAGAGAGAGAGAGAGAGAGAGAGAGATATGGAGAAGCATCCAGCTTTCTAGTAGATTCTCTGGATGAGTCTAGGGGTAGATGTCCAGTCGTTATTCCCTTTCTTTTCATGGTGGAAGACGACCCGATCCGCTGATCTTTGCCAAATTCGCTGGACCGATGTCCCCCGACTCGCGAATTGTTTTGGTTTAAAGACTGATTAATTTGCAAAAACGAAAGGAGTAATCCAACAAGCTGGAACTAACCATAGTAGTTGCACACGTCAAGCAACTGAGCTTCTTCCTCCAATGTCTGTAAACTTCTACCCTTCCCCCCCGCGCCCCCACGTCACTGTTTTAAAAATGAACCGCGAATGTGCAAGAGCGATGGATGGCGACATTGCGCGTCCGAAGCGTGCGTGCGTGCGTGCGTGGGCGCGCACGCCGTGCGATCGCCCACCGTTCCCCACTCCCACCCAGTCGTCTCCTCCCACGTAACCACCGTCCGTCCGCCCCCCGCCACGTCGGGAGTCGTCTCACGTGGCGCGCTCTGGTTGGTGGAACATCCTGAAGCCGCGAGACCGGTTTCCAGGGCATCCTCGCCCCCCTGTCCAGTTCGCGGTCGCTTCGTTGCGTAACTTTTTACAGGTTTCGTCGTCGTCTGGAACTGCTTGCAGTTAACTAAAACCATCTTACTCCATTAAAATCACTTCACCAACTCCATCAAACTCATCGAGAGAAGAAGAAGAAGAAGAAGAAGAAGGAGAAGACGAAGCAGTGGTCAATCAACTGGGGGATTCGAGAGCGGATTAAGGATGGCGGGCGTGGATGTAGAGAGCAGGGGAGGGCCGGCGAAGGACGGATCGAGGGGCAGCAACAACTTCTCCTCGTCGTCGTCGTTCGCGATCGACGAGGGCGAGGCGCAGTGGACGTCGTGGCTGGTGCCCATGTTCGTGGTCGCCAGCATCGCCGTGTTCGTCGTGACGATGTACGTGAACGACTGCCCCGAGCACCACCCGGCCGGGGGCTGCGTCGCCAAGTTCCTCGGGAGGCTCTCGTTCGAGCCGCTCAAGCAGAACCCTCTCTTCGGCCCTTCTGATTCCACGTAATTGCTCTCTGCGATCGTCTTTGATTTTTGTTTTGTTCCTGTCTCGTTGGTGATCAGCAGGAGGTTTCGATGCGGAGAGCTGTTATGGGCTGCGTTTCTGTTCCTTTAGGATGGATGGATGAATGAGCTCACTATGTGGAATCACTCGGACGTGAATTTGATTTCCGAAAAACGCGATTTTTATGTAACGATGCACCGATTTGGGAACACAGTTTGGTGTTTCTCTAGCTGTTTGCGACGCAATCTGACAGACCTTTGTGAAATAACTTCACAGCTCATTCGGTTTCATGCTTGTAGCTGCTGAATTGGTGAATTTTCCTGACATACCCTTTTTCAGGGAAGTAGTTTTAGTCATAATTTAGAGGTGGACAGCCTCATTTTTCCTGAGATAATTGTTCTGCTTATGTATTGCATATCTTTTAGTGGATTACAGCATGGTAGCTTCAGTCATGGCCAATTTTCTTTTAGCTTTATGGGGCACTGGGATAAGTTAGAAAAAGAGATCTATACAAGTAGTTGAGATCGAAAACAGAAGTTGATTCGAAGCTTTTCCTCTGTTTTGAAGATTCATTAAACTTGGAGCTCTTGACTGGGATAGAGTCGTGCATCGGCATCAAGGATGGAGGCTTGTCACCTGCGCCTGGTTGCATGCTGGTGTCATTCATCTCGCCGTGAACATGTTGTGCCTGATACTCATTGGAGTCCGCCTTGAGCAGCAATTTGGGTTTGGTAATTTACCCTCGGTTGGCTTATGCCCGGTCTTTTCTGTTGAAAAATGTGCAACGCAAGACCTTAGATTCATCTATTTTTTAAACCTCTCAAAAAGGGGCAAAGTTATTGCCCGCCATACTTTTGTACATCAGATTCCAACAATGCACATGTCATAATGAAGCACTTTTCTGGAAAACTTTCTTAGTTATGAAGGAACGGGTACTTATATACTTTAAAAACTATAAATCAAGTGATTAAGTGCCTTAGGCTTGATTAGAATCTCAGTTAAGCATTGAGATTTATGTTTGGCACATTAAATATTTTGCTATCATGTGACATTTTTCTTTGCAACTTGGCAGTGCGCATCGGAATTATTTTTCTCTTATCAGGATTTGGCGGAAGTGTGCTTTCTGCTTTGTTTATTCAAAATTTTATAACCGTTGGTGCCTCTGGTGGTCTGTTTGGGCTGCTTGGAGCTATGCTTTCGGAACTTTTTACCAACTGGACTCTTTACACAAATAAGGTGAGTCAAGCAAACCTATCTATTCCATGTTGCCCTCGACTCGAGATGCATCAATACTTTCATTTATCATGACATCCTGAAGTTTGCGCTAACCCCCTTCTTTAGCTGCTTCTGTAGGCTGCAGCGTTGGTCACCCTGGCATTTGTGATTGCTGTTAACCTCGCTATTGGGATTTTGCCACATGTCAATAATTTTGCTCATATTGGTGGCTTCTTGACGGGGTTCCTTCTCGGCTTTATTTTGCTCCCCCGTCCTCAATTAGCATGGTTAGACCGTCGCAATCTTCCAGCCGATGTTCCTGTCAAATCCAAGTACAAAGCCTATCAGTATGTGTTGTGGCTAGCTTCCTTGCTGCTGCTACTTGCAGGGTGAGTTAAACTTCAATTGAGGATGATCTTTGAATCACCGTTAGCATGCCGAGTGCTTTTTTGCACCACATTAAGATCTTTCATTGGATTGCGCTCCATATTATGCATTCAGCTAGGACTGATATGAACTCATGACATAAATGTGTGAAACTACTTCATCTGTCATGGATGACTTGCTAGGTGATTGGTATCCTATCTGCTTAGTGGTAGAGGTGTCCGCTGCTTTTTGTTCTTCATTTCTTTTCTTGGCTATGAAGTTGAGGGGTTTGTAACGGTAACCTAGCATCCCCACCCTACCACCCAGCCACTGGACCGAGTGCCTTGTGGCTGAGCTGCTGATGTCGATACTTTGATCTTCGAGGGGATATGTTTGCTTTTTACTCTGTCAAGGAGGTATATTTACCTTTGTCAAGTTCTCATTAATTAAATCTGGACAAATGAGTTTAAACCATGATCATCAGCTATATCTCAAAATATGATAGCTTCACAGTAGAACCAACATGATGGGTCTTCTTCTGGAAGGATCTTGCTTATTGCTTTCTCAAGTTGACTCGGCTTCCTCATCCTTTGAACTTTAATTGCAGATTCACTGTAGCACTGGTGATGCTATATCGAGGAAAGAATGTCAATGACCATTGCCACTGGTGTCACTATTTGAGCTGCGTGCCCACTGATAGCTGGAGTTGTGATGGAAATTAAAACTCCCGAGGGAGATGGTCACTCTTGATATGTATGTACATCGGGCATTTTTATTCGAGGGTAGTTCAACTTTGCTTTATAGCTTATACGACCTATTTATAGAGTAACAGGTAGTATGTACATGTGACCGGTGTTGCTCTCCAGTGGGACTGTACATGCAGTAGTACATTCCTTGTGCAATCTTTTGTATATCTATACTTGCCGACACAGACTGCTTAGTTGAGCTTAATGCAGTTTCTTAGTTTTCATGTACCTCATCCTCATTGTACATCCTATGCCAAGATTTAGCATGCGTTTATTTGTGTCCTGGGTACTAAATTGGAAGCAGGGAAAAAAAAAAATTGCAAGGAAGATGGCGTCGCCCGGACTCGAACCGGAGACCTTCAGTGTGTTAGACTGACGTGATAACCAACTACACCACGACACCAGCTTGGTGGGGTCTTGCGAGAAGTGGTACTAATAATTACATTGCGGTTTCTTCTTGTCCAATAGGCCTAGAAGAAAAAGGCTTCCTGCAGAGAAAATTGATAAAGAGGTTTGTTAGGCTGCACCAAACATGAACTGGGCTACGAGAGCTGGGCTGGATTCCTTCGAAATTTGGTAACCTTTCCCTAATGGGTGAACTTTGGATATCAGCATTCGAGGAAACTAGTGCTGGGTCCTCACGTATTCCCCTTTTCTTTTTGCTGGCACTAGTTTGGTTGCACAGTTTAGAGAAGCTGATGCAGAATAATCTTTTTACCGCAAGAAAACAATGGTTATAACTGTGTATGGCGGAGTCGGTGGCTATCGAGCGCATAAGAGTGGTGCTGTGGAGTGCTAAAATCTTGCGATGTTGGGAGTCTTTGCAAAACCATGTCGTCATTGGCCGCATCTATGGCCATGCACCAAACGTGCACCGCGACCGACGTCTGGTTTCCGCATGAAGGAGATGGGAAATTGTTTCGCTACATCAAAAAGCGTCGTACCACCGTCATTCTCGACAGATGATAGCCACTTGATTCCTTCGTCTATTTACACTTCGTGTTGTCTAGTTGGCGAGTTTTGCCAATCTAGGGAGTTTTGGTAGGTGGCACTTACGAAACCGATAATCAGTCGAGCGCTGCTGTCACATTTGGATTGATCATCCTCCGTTCACATTCTAATCCCATTGATTTCAAGTAAAATGAAAAGGGAAGAAGAAAAGAACTGTCCATCGTTGTCCATGGGATGCACCAAATAAACTCGTCTACCTATAAGCTAAAAACAGCTTATTCACACGTCACGAAACATCTTCAGAAAGACCGTGCGCTGTTTCTTAAAGCACGCAGTGGCAGAAATTGCCGTCAATGATTGGAATCAATCAACAAACGGCACCTGAATTGCTCTTACGTACTGCCAAAGTGACCACTGTGTGACCTTCGGAGGAAGAAGACAAATCTTTACTTGCGCAAAGTATTCAAGAGAAAAATTCAAAAAGAGGGCCACCCCTTTTCTCTATTAGGATTAGGTGGGTTTCATTTCATCGCTCTTGAATTACAATTCCCCTCCCGTGATCAGACCACTCAAGAAACGTCCTGTTGAACCGTCTTTTTACTCCACCAATCCAAGACCCAGAATTAGGAAAGGGAAAGAGACAAAAGCACAAGATGGGAGGAGGGCCCAAAGCTGATTGATCCCATCATCACCTAATCACCTAATAATTTCATCAGTGGCCCCTGATGTATTCAACATTAATCAAGTTGGGGGGGTTTTAGCTCGGTGAGCATCACACCCTTTCCTATGGAAAAATCACTTCTCTGTTTTTCTTTCATCTGGAGAAGTAAACGAGTGAAATAAGCCCAACAGACTGTCTTCTTTGCTGTGCTGGGGCAAATTCAATAGCATTTCCCTTGTCGGTCGTCGCTCTGTGTCCTTGTACAGACAAGCTTTGACGTGACCTGCCATCGAACTGCTAGTGAAAATGGGTGGAGACGATGAATTCTCTCCGTGAACAAGTTTGGTGGGGACGAGGGAGTGGGGACAAATTGTAGTATATGTGTCTGCTTATGTCCGACTCCATTTCAAATCTGTGGCAGATTTGTCGTTGAAGTTTTAGTTTCGATCCGTCCTTTTGAACTCAAGTTCGCATCAGATGATTTGAGGTTCTTAATGAAGGACCCAAGTCAATGCACTTCATGAAGCTACGACATACTTAAATGTAAGTTTTCCTTTGTACGTGTTGGAGAGACGGATGAATGCAGATGATAGAAAATCCTCTCCCGTCCCTTCAAGAATCGTAATACAGAAGGAGAAATCAGTTATTCAAGTAAATCAACACTTTACAGTGTCACAGGTACACAGCTTTATTGTGTTCATTGACAAGTGGAACAAATACAGGGTCACTCTAACAAAAAGAAAACACGGGGGAAAAGCACGCCGCTAGCAAAAAAACAGGAAAAATATCAAAAGGGTTTGCACTCATGGATGAACTTTCCGTGAATTTGATGAAGAATCACTACCACGCATCAAGAAGTCTTACCACACAAGCCCGGACCGAAGGAAAGGAAGAGAAAAACCAAAGCTGTGTCACCTCAAATTGGTACTTCCTAGTCTGTCAAACCGGTTGGAGACTGGATAAGCTCTGCTCCTTAAATCGGCATATAGCGGGTAATTCCTTTCCGAAGTAGCCCCAACATCCCAAGATGCCTGGAGAGATCTCTTTGTCGAACCATACTTGTCAAACTCAAGCCTCTGCCTGGGGGCACTCTGTGACCTAACCTTGGCCCGAGACGATTCCGTGTTAGCCATATAATTCGGGTGACCCGAGTACCCGTTAAAGAAGCCCCATGAACATTCACTTCTCGTTGGTGTGAAGCGACCTCTCCTCGCACTGCTACTTCCGGGCCGAGATGAAATAGATTTTACTTGTGGGCTGTTGTCAGCAGATTTGAGCATTTCACCTTTACCTCCGGGATAACGCAGAGACCTCAATGAAAGAAGCTCCTCTGAGGATAAACTTGGCACGGGGTTAGGTGCTCTTGATGAGTATTTTGATGGAGAGTCGGATACCATCACATTCTGATTTATGTAGTTGGATTCTATAGCTTGATGCAGGGATTGGTAAGTTTCCTGGTTTCTTTGAGAGTTCAAGCGAGGCTTCCAAGTGTCTACTTCAAGAATCTTCGAGCTCCTCTCGTCATCATGCCGATGTCTCGGTGGAGCATCTCCATGGTCGTCCCTTACGCCTTCTTCCATCCAACGGTCCAGCCAATTTGATCCAAATTTTGCCCCTTCCATGTCAATATTTCCCCTAATGTTTGAAATTGAGCCACATCTCTACAAGAAGAATGCGAGCTTTGAATAGCATCAATGATCAAGACAAGCAATTTCAACAAAATGACGCACAAAATCATCAAATACTACAACGCGAATGAAACCAATAGGCGACAATAGTCTGTTGTGATGCCAACCAGCACAAATGCAATATTAAAGGCCTGGTAGTATTCATTTTGATGATACCCCTGGTAGTATAACTGACTGTTTCCCCTGCACTCACCAAGTACGATATTGGCAAGCAACTTGCATCTTCAGACCACTTATTTAGATACTTCAATTGTAGGGGCATCTGAATAATAAATGAAAGAGTTTACAGATGTTGAGTCTTCTTACTGGGTGATGAGATAAAGAGGACTTGCTGCTGGAATGTGGAGAAACTGTTGTATAAGAGCGACTTGTACGAGCCCGTACTTGCAAGCGGACCAATGTCTGCATGCGCCTGAGCATGTCTGCCATTTGCTTTCTCACAAAATGGCCTCTCACCAGCGCTTGGAGTTTCACCAGAGCTTTCAGTGCTCTAAGTGCTCTCCTTGCCTTTGAAGATTGCAATTAGAGGTGTTAGAAAGTCGTTCATCTTTTTCTGATCAATCAACCAGAAGCAGTATGGCTTAAAGAATTAGACTACAAAAATAACAGGTAAACTCGCATTGTTGGGTCATTATTTTCTTTGACATAATCAAACGGAACTTCCTGGCATTGCAAAGACTGTGAATTAGAAGAACTAAACAGGAATACAATCTGTCTTTCTTAACCACTCCCTCGTAAACATGGTCTAACTTAAGAAATGAGATACTAATCTAGAGATCTTATGATGCGGTTCCTCCTACTTCACTCAATTTTTCCCCCAGTAAGTTGCATAGAGCTATATAAAGCTACTTTTGAAATAGATAACAAAGACCAATCCAATTGTCTAAAACACGAATATCAACAAGCACCGGTGCCACTTGAAAGTGGCAAGTAGCTTAGCATGGGTCTTTTACACAGCAGATGCTGCTCAAATAAACAAATATAAATCTTCAAATGATGAGGGGGGAAAGAACTAGCAACTTTAGGTCACAATCATAACTGGCCCATTTTAAGTGGAAAAAACACTTGCATATTAGAATCATTAGACACCCAAAAAGCATGGACTAAATGCAGAGTTCCAAATGGTTCTTTATGGCTGCTGTTCCCTCCATGATGGCCCAGCCATACGAAAGCAAACCTATCTGGACTTTCACAAATTTACAAAAGGAAGGAAAAAAAAAGAAAACAGCTGGGAAGCCAGCCATATTTGCAATGCCAAAATAATCTGGATCTGCAATGTACAAACCTCCTAGATAGAACATACACACCCCACTTGAATAACAAAAAGAAAACGAAAAAGATGGATCAAACTGGTGAAACTATCGATCACATTACTGTGCTTTCCAGCTATGCAGTTCACCCGAAAAAGAAAATGGGCCCCCATCTGGTACGAAAATGCGCTACACTTTTGACCCTTTTTTCTTTCTTTGAGACAGAACATTTGACATATCTGTACGACTCCAGTATAATATGACTATCAACAACCCCGAAGTCTACTAGTCAAAACTTCAAACGCAGAGCTCCTTGAAACAACTAAAACAAAGGAAAGAAAACCACAAAGATTGACAAAAGAATTCCAGATCTCCAACTCCAATGAGCCAAAGTGACAACCACAATGATAGTCAATAGAGTTCCAAGAAGTGAACTTTGGGTAGAGAGAGAGAGAGACGGGAAATGGCGGAACACGTGCGAACCCAAAGCCCGTTGAACACCCTTGGACTTTTCGTCTAAAAGCAAAACATGGTTGCCGGTCACAAGGAATAGATTCTCCCTCCCCTCTTTGAGTATGACTGGTGCTGGTGTGTCGGCGTCTTCCTAACGCGCAAGTTTCGTGCCCCCACACTCACAAGCCTTCAACATCAACATTAAATACCTAATTCACTGCTCTTCCTAGGTGTGGAACCCCGTAATAGTCTAGCTATTTATTACCTGCTATATTTAGCAGCTACAACGCCTAGAACTCTCCATATTTGATAACAGATATACGAAAAGAAGAAAAAAAGCATTAACGAAGCCGAATGATTGCGATTCAGGTTGTACAGAGGCAAGGCAAGAGGTGCAAAAAAGAAAGAAAATTGATTCAAGTTGGTTTTAGTTTGAATTGAAGCACTGTTTTTCCTCTGGATATCGTATTGTTCTTGCTGAGCACAGCTTAAAAAGCATCCACAGAAGATTTCAGCCAGGCAATCCTCATCCACCCAATTGCTATTGATTCAGATTCCACCTCAAGTTCATAGCTTTCAAGCGAATTGGGCACCAAAATGAACCGACATTGCACAGACATCTGGTAATCGAACCATAAAGAAAGAAAACGGATACCCATAAATCAAAGTACCAACCAGATAGCCTCGAAATGCGGATTGAATCAGAACAGCGCGGCCGAATCCTCCACGCGCGGGCGGTTGCCGCCGGACTGCGCCGGAGCAGCACATTTCACGGCCCCGCCGACGGCACCCCCACCGCTGGTGAGCCGGACGACCTCCGCGGCGGCCTGGGCGGCGGCGACGGCGGCCTCGGCGACGGCGGCGGTGGCGGCGGCGACCGCGATGGCGTGCTTGCTGGCGTCCAAGTCGCCGGGGCCGAGGGAGTAGCGGTGGTGGTGGTGGGCGGCGCCGCTGGGGAGGGCTAGGCGGCTCTTCTCGTTGAGCGATCTGATGAAGCTCCAGCGCCGGCGGTGGTGTTGCCTGTCCCTGGAGCCGCCGAAGAGTCGTCGGAAGAAGCCCATCCTATCATTTCACTGGCGCGGAAATGCGAAGAGCTCTTCCTTCTTCGGTGGTGGTGTGTTCATGGCGAGAGTGGTGGCAGTAGAGAGAGAGCAAGCGAGTGAAGTCAGTCACTGAAGTGAGTGGAAATAAATAGGGAGTGAACGAGAGAGAAGGCGACGACGACGACGACGACGACGACCACGCGCAGTTTCGGAAGTCGTGACGCACACCGTCGCATCTTCGAGGAATTTTATGGACGGTAAAATTCCATGTCACGGCCCTCCTTTACAGCATGATGTACCTTATTCATTTGACTAACAAACGCATAAAAAAAACGCTACGATTATCTTTTTTTTTTCACGATTATACCCCTGTCTTTGTCCCTTTGTTTTTTTTTTTGCATGAAATTATTGGCCGACGTGAAATGTGATCATGGGCTCGATGGCCCGATTAACCTCAAAGGGCAAATTAATCGATCCTAAAGTCCTGTTTGTTTTGTGGAAAAAAAAATTTCTCTCATTTTCCGGACTTTAGATTGCTTGGAAAAATGAGCCGACGGAAAATCTTTTCATGATCACCGGAAAAATTAGGCTTGAATTCAGGTAAATGATTTTCTCTTCTTTTTTTTTTAAAAATCAGAAATCATTTCATGTTAATACGACTAGATATCGACGTTTGGATCAGAGTCGCGATGCTTGGGCATAGGAACCTCAACGCCTTTGCTCAGGTCCATGAAGACTGGGCTCAAGTACCTAGCTTCGGGGCCAGGATCCATCGAGGCTAGGATGAGTTCCTTGACGACTCGGCCCGAGTCCACAAAAGGCAGAGCCCAGATCCCTTGAGGCTGGGGCCAACTTGCCCACCTTCGATATTGCTTGGATAGCTTATAACTACGTTTTCACTCAAGTAGGAGGCATCTCGTGTACGAAAAACCTTGCGCATCACAGTTAATGTACGTTTACACTTACATTTCCTACCTCGAAAATCCTGTATCTGCCGTTGCATGGTACATCATATACCGTTAATTTACACTGCCATAGTACCTCACCCTGCCTATGCGATTGGTTTTTTCGTTAAACTTAGGTCTTGTATAAGAAAAGTCGTCCGAAATTAACTGTGAATGCAGGTGCAACCCAATCCCTTTCTCACGCCCGTAAGTATTAACATAAGAATGCCTTGTGCCTTTCAGAATTGTTCGTAACTGAAAGGCCCAATAGAGCCGACTCTGATACTCCGGCTCTATTGGCAAGTTGCTTGATGCGGCAGATTCTTCACGGAAACTCTGGTTTGGTGTTTCCTTCCTGTTCTGATGATGCAACCCGCACCTAGCATGATGGAATATTGGTGTTGGCGGCGGCACTTGAGGTGAAGTGTATGTGGCTGCCGGCCCGAACCCCTCGGGGTGTTGTCGACTCCGGCCAGCATGAATGGTGCGAACATTCAGTGAGCCGAGCCGAGCCGAGCCGAGTAGCTTTGCGAATGTCTACTCGAGCCATCCGAGTCATTCGAGCCGCCAATGGCCTGAGCTGTAATCGCATGAGTAGAGAGAGTAGAGAGACTTGGTGCCTGCCAAGTGCCATGAGTTTTGAACCCTGATCGGTGATATGAATGCTGTTGCCTTAGTCACTGTTCTTTTTGCTGCTGGTTTATTGGTTCTTATTGGGAAGAAGGGATGGGTGAGTCACTGTGCATGAAATATCTAAACCGGGAATTGGTTTGGCCTTCAATTCATCTGTGTGTCGGTGATGCATAGATAGCTGCAGTTGGAAAGCTACTTCTTCATCCATCGATTACGATGTTAAATTTTATTGATACAACATGATAGAAGGAGCATGTGGAAGGGAATGAAAATGGAACATGGGAGAGAGAAAGCTTATCTGATAAATCCTATTGATTATGTACATTACATTCAAGGTAGTATCTGATAATGATAGAAATGTTAAACAATAAGTAAAAAAGGACTAGTGAAGTAATCGTACAACCGAGTCCGGTTGAAACTAGAATGAGTCGAATTTTACGAGTTTAGAATTGAGATAAACAAAACTGTCGAGAGAGATGCGGGAGAAATTTATCTATGGTGATGTTTAGGATGTGGGCGGATCATCGGAGGGAGCAGAAGCTGTCCAATAAGACTTGACGGCAAACAAAAGCTTCTCTCTCACGAGCGGTCCATCTTCATGGTCGACGATTTGACTGTCGTAGTTCATCGAATCGATGATCCTCTTCACCTTCACCAGCACATCCACATCGTCTCGCAGTATGAAGCTCCCTTCTGGCCTCAGAACTCTGTCCATCTCAAGCAATATGTCCTCCAATTCACACCTACATACATACACATTCCCAATATGTCAAAAACATTAGCTGATCGATCCGCCCCAGAATAATACAGAACCACCATGTCAAAAAATGTCACGAAAATTGACAGGATCTCTTGAAGTTTATCTTTTACATACCTGTCCTGATAGAGGGTAAACAGGGAATTGGCGTGAATGAGGTCGTACGTTCTCGGATATGTGGACATCGCTTCGCACCTGCAATGCATACGAGTAACTAATAAATCTTTCGCATAGACCGTGCGAGTGTCAAATGGTCAATACTGGGACAGAGAATCACAGACAACGAAGAAAAGACTTGCCAGCTATGGTAGGTTCCAATTAGTCCTCGTTCATAGATAGCTCCGAGAGTGTTGACCTTGGCTTCCACAGGAACCACGTTCATGACCCAAACGGGGTCTTGGACGAGTACGGCCGCGAACCCGCCCAAGTAGGCGTTCATGTCTAGCAAGTTGCGGTACCTCCCTGCAAGTCCTAGCTGGTTGTTCACGGTCTTGTAATACGACACCCTCCTCTCCCACAATGCCGTCTCCCTTAGGAAAATCTCGGCCGTGATGCCCGGTAGCATTCCCTTGCCAATCCTCGGTGGAATCGCATTCAACCTCTCAGGCCAGTTAGCCAATTCGCCCCCTGAAATCGCCCCGTCGTCCGTAACTTTGGGTAATGGAGTCAAACACGTTTCCATGCTCGTATACCTGAGAACATATCATGGTTGAAACGAAGCTCAAATCAAAGAAAAATTGAACACAACAGGCGCAAAATGCAGGACAGACTGAATTCCCCAATCACCTACCAGGCCTTGTCTGGATCCTGAGACGGGCACAGAGGTGGGATCTGGGCGACTTCTCTATTGACCTTGCAATGCAAATGATTGATAGGCTTTTGCCATATTGCAATGTCACCCTTCTCCACCAACTTTGTCCAGCAAAGACTTTTTGCTACATTCTCAATTCTGGTCTGCTCAGCACTCAAATCTTCCTTTGTTCTCTGCCAACCTCTCCAGTGTGTCTTCCAATTGATCGGCGGGCCGGACAGTACCCAGTATCCGCCGGGCCGTAGAACTCTATCCACTTCAATAAGGTATATTCCATCTATAGCAGAGAACAAGCAAATTCGGATAAATGCGAGACCCCTAAAATTGAATTGATTAGTAATTAGCGAGGACTCAATACCGAATAGGTCCCACGGAATGAGGCAGCGAGAGCAATGAGCCATGTCAAACGCTCGGGACGGATAGGGAAGGCGCTTAGATGCAAGGACCCCGATCTGTGCGGGCACTCCTCGCTCGAGGGCGAACTGGACTTGAGCTTCGTGCGTGTCCCTCGGAGCGAACGACATCGCTAGGATGCCTCGAGACAGAAGATAAGCCCCCCAACTAGCAACCTGGATGTGAACAGAAATCGGAACATTGAGAAACAAATTGCACCACCAGACATTGCCATCTACTGATCAAAAATTCAAAAAAAAAAAAATCAGAACCATTCGGCTTCCTAGAGTTGTAAATGGCCGAGTGCCCCCGACTTCATCCTCCTAAATTAGAAGCACGTATACTGCAGATTAAGTTGTCTTTCTTTGATCAATGTTTGGCAACTTAATTGAGCATATGTTTGTCTACATTATTACAAAGGGGTCGTCGAATGCTGGTCTACCAAATCCTCCTAAAAAGGGAAGTGAATCGACCAGCCTCTCTCGCCAGTTTTCCTCGAAGAAAACAAGGAAAGAGAAACCGCAAGACGCGTTAAAACCATTATGGCACGCATGATTCAGGCAAGTTTGGTTCAGCTTCTTAACATGTTTGGTTTGTGGTGATCCATTCGTGGGAGATGTAGAAGGTAAATGAAATAAATGCTCGGCCAATCCAACGCGGACTTTGTTATTCTGGGATCGGGCTAGATTTGGTATAGTAGGATGAACTTATTAGACAAGAAGAAAAGGGAGCTTACCCCGCAACCGGTATCGATGGCGGTCCGTATGGACCCGTTCCTAAGATCGATCAACTTCCCGATGTCGTCGATGTATGCGTCCGCGCCATGGGGGAACATGGTCCCGCCCCCGGGGAACCGGAACCGGTCGCCCTCGAACTGGATCCAGTTCTGGACCGCCTTCTCCACCGTGAGCTCCTTGTGCGGCACGTTGGCGTACCATGCCATGTCCCGGCTCGCGGGCCACCCGAACGGATTCCGGTATCCAGGCGGGGCCGGGACCCGGCACTTGAGCGTCTCGTTGCGCTCGGGGCAATGCCGCTCTCGGAATATCAGCCTCCTCCGGTCGAACCGGTGAGACCTCTTGGGGTCCTCACACGGGGTGTACTCGCTGAGCTCGACGCCGCATGGCGGGTAGGTCTCGACCTTCTCACCCGATGATGTGCCGTCGTCTCGGGCATGGTGGGGGTTGAAGTCGAGCGATGGGGACACGCAGGGCTTGGTAACGGCCGTAATAGAGACGGGGACGTTTCGCCATGTGCCGACGAGATAAGAGATGAAGCAGAGGAGGAAGATGAGGAGCCATGTGTGAAGAAGGGTGATTTTCAGGTGAGAAGAGGTGGGCTTGGTTGGACCAGCCATGGCCATGGACGTTCTGCTTGGTATGGCTTATGGAGCTGCGTTTGGTTCTTCTATCTGTTAGGGAGAGAGAGAGAGAGATGGTGAAGCGAAGGTGAGAAGAAGGTGCAGGAACGGGTGAATATATAAAGAATATAAGGTAGCAGAACTGGGCAAGCGATCCTACTTAGGAAGTTTTAAGACGGGTGAGTCTATGGTTTCCATTTGGGTCTTCGACGGTGCAAGAAGGAGACTAGGCTAATTCAATTAATATTCATTCAGTGAATTCGTAAGGATAAGCTTTTCCTTGCTAGGTTGGTGTAAAAATCACGTCATATCGATATGATCAAATTATTCTATACCTATCTCATGTAATCAATGTATTAATGAAATATACGCTTTTTCATCGACATTAGTAGACTTGATCTAAAATCACGTTACCGATCATGTGGCATGTTATTCCGAGTAAGTGAATCGATTTGCTTTTACGCGTCTCGTGTGGTTTCCTTACGATTTTCCGGTTGAAATCCGATTGACAACTTAGCGTGGACGAAGATGGCCATGCAAGAATCTTCGGTCGGTCTATTTCTGACGGTTCGAGTCACGAACATCTACTTGCATCAAACGAGCTGGAACGATTAGTGTTACATGATAATAAAGTCAACAGGAATCTCGACAACTTCACGTAACAAGTTTCCCAATCCCTAAGTCCGCCATAACTCTTCGTACGATGATGTTGAAAACTTACGAAACAGATCTGGGTCTTGGCCCTGATGACAACCTCCCCGGCTGTTCTTATGTTTTAATCTGGACTAATCTTAATCACTTAAAACTGATTTACAAAATCAATATTCTAAATGAACTAGCCAGAGTTTTTGTCGAGTGTTGAATGTACCCGGCTTAATCAGAGGTTTGCTTGTGATGCACGATATTATTAATTAGAGTTTATCTTATAAAAACTCTTAAACTTTTCGTAGTGGGACATGTCTACTTTGAATTTTCATCTGTGTCGCCAAAACTCCTCGATTTGTGTACTTGGGACAGATCCATCGTACGGTCAATAACTCCGCTAGAAAATGGACATTTAGTCAAAATTTCTGGCTTTGCCATTGAAGACTCTTTTCATTAATTCGGTCTCCGCAAAGACACAGTTTCTACAATTTCTCAATCGTTATTCGATTTTCTCAATTTAGTCTCTAAGGAGCGTTCTTTCTATCGATTGCATTAAAACCAATTTGAATGGAGGATACCAATCGAAATCTCGCGAAAGAGAAAGTACCTTCATCTCATGTGGTATGGGAAGAGATAAAACTATCCAACGAATATATTCATCATGTTCAAAGGCTACTACATTCTATGTATCGTAATTCACTCTCGCGACTTCCCAATTTTCATCAAAATAAAACATCCGCCATTCGTAGATATTATTAAAAGCCTTAATCATCGAATGTGTAATAGCCTTTGATCATATACTATTAAAAGCCTTAATCATTATGAGAATAATCTAACACGAGGCCAACACAACGCACGGGATCTTTATTTAAAGCACACTAAACGTGATTACAAATACTAAACACGATTACAAAGTGTTAAAACTTTAGATTCTCGGAGACAAAACAATAGTCTTTAATTTATCCAGCGCACACTAATCGTTTACCGATTAGGGATTTTTCGTGATATTAATTTTAATTGCTTAAAATTCTAATCTTCTGAATTGAGTTATATATATCATGTTTAAGTGGGTAAGGTCCTATCTAGACGAAAGAAGCATCCCGTAGTCAGAGGGCCAAAGCATCGAGAGATGACTGCATCTGCATGCACATGGAGGAGTCAATTTCTATAACGTATTACCGTTGACCTGTATCATTATTTTTCTCGAAGAGCTCCTTGTCTCGTTTCTCCCGTACACGTAACCGGCGAAGGGAAAATCATCTGGTGAAGGCTTGTTGATGCTATGAATCTCGGAGTAGTTGAAAAAGATAATGAAGATGAAATGGTCGTGACGTCACATGCTTCTACACATAAATTATTGTCGCGAAAAATGACACAATAATCCATGAACTTTGGCCTAATGTGTAATGTTGTGACTCAACTTTTATTTGTTGGGAAAATGACAGAAACATTCCCTGAACTTTGGCCCAAAATGCAAGTTGGTCCCTGAACTTGAATTAATGGAAGAACTACATTGGACATTTTTATATAGTTCAAGGACTAAATTGAATATGTACCAAAAGTTCATGGACCACATTGAATAAATTAAAAGTTTAAGGACCACATTAAATATCAGGTTAAAGTTTAAGGATTACATTGAACAAATTAAAAGTTCATAGACCAAATTGCACATTGAGCCAAAGTTCAAGGACTGTTTGTGTCGTTATCCCTAATTTGTTTAATGTGGTTCTGGAACTTTTAGTATATGCTCAATTTAGTCCCCAAACTATATGAAAATTTTCGATGTTATCCTTGAACTTGAATTAATGAAAGGGTATCAGTAGCTATTTTCATATAATTTAGATATTAGATTGAATATTTGCCAAAAATTCATAGACCTTATTGAATAAATTAAAAGTTCAAGCATGATATTACGCATGAGCTAAAATTCAGGACCACATTAAATCAATTAAAAGTTTATGAATGACATTTCATATTAGGCCAAAGTTCCAGAACTATTTGTTTAATCATTCCTAAATTGTCCGATGAAAGGAAAAAAAAAGTCTATACAAACAAACGACGGCGATGCCATGCCAACAAAGAGTCCAAGACTACAGTTTGAAATCATTAGTCGAGAGCTGGACGTGTTTATGTTTGATTCTTGAAAAAATGACACAAATGATCCTTGAACATTGACCAAATGTGAAATGTGATCTCCGAACTTTTAATTTGTTCGATGTGGTCCCACTACAAAAAAACATGAATTTTGCCACGGAAATTTGCGACGGGGAAAAAATCCGTCGCTTTTTTCCGTCGCAAATTAGCAACGAATAATTTTTGTCGCTAATTTGCGACGGAATTTGCCACGAAATAAAAATTCGTCGCAAATTAGCGACGGAAAAAAAAAATCCGTCGCAAATTTGCGACGAAAAAAAAATTCGTCGCAAATTTGCAACGGAAAAAAAAAATCCGTCGCAAATGTACGGCGAAAAAAAAATCCATCGCAAATTTACGACGGAAAAAAAAAATATCGCAAATTAGCGACTGAAAAAAAAAATCCGTCGCAAACTCTGAATTTAGTCTCCCGCCAATCTCTCAAATTTGCCCGCCCTCACCCCAGTTTTTCTCTCTCTCTCTCTGCTATTCCTCAGAACCACCCCCCCTCCGCCAAACACCTCTCCGTCGCTCCCTCCTCCCCTCCGCCAGCCATGATGGCCACCCTCACCGCCACCGCCGTTGCCTCCTCCTCCGTCGCCATCCGCTCGTTTCGCGCCCACAAGCCCTCCCGCGCGCCCCGCCGGGATCCGGTGCTCCGTCACCGAGGGCCCCACGATCTCCCAGCCGAACAGAGTTCGTCTCCCCGTCTCATCTCGAGCTCTGGAGCTCTTCCCAGGTACGAAACGAGCTGGCTCCCGCGGTCGTCACTGGTTTCGTACAGTGACTGTTCTTGATGTTGTCTTTGGTTTCGTGTGATCAGCATAGGGTGAGGTTGGGGAAGTACAAGAGGGATGCGGATTCGTTGCGGAGGGAGGGGGAGAATTCGCAGGCCGTGTGGAGCCCTGATGCCAAATTGATTGCCGTTGTGGTGAGTTCGAGATGTTTTTATGGATAGGTTTGATGAAACATGAAATGATCCGGTCGATTTGTGAGTCGGGCAATTGCAATTGATTTTGCATTTGCATTGCCGTTCTTGATTCATATCTGGTCGGCCTATAACTATGGATTGGTATAAGTTCATTTCTTGGGATGTACTCGTGTACAAAATTTACCTTGACTACAATGCATCCGCAAAGAATGGTGCTCAAAATGAGAGCTGGGTGCCCTGCTGTAGATCTCTTCTTTGGCTGTTCCGGTTAGAAATTCTGCGTGTCGGTTGACTACTGTCATTCTTCGGACTGATCTTTGTAGCTACTTAATTTTGGCCAAGGGGGTACCGGTATGACCCTTTAGATAATTATCTCTAATAGAAGCTAGAGAGGTGATGCTTGTCAATTGTGCCTATTGTTAGTGAATGCGAGCATTCTTTCCTCCTTCCTTGGTCTTGCTCTGACTAGTAAAATAAACTACCAGTTGCTTCTTATGACGTGTTTTCATATTTTTTGCAGACGACTTCACTCTATCTTCATTTATTTAAGGTTCACTTTTCTGAGAAAAGAGTACAGATTGGAGGGAAGCAACCGTCTGGTTTGTATTTTGCAACTATTTCTCTTCTCCTCAGCGAGCAGGTTCCCTTTGGAGACATGAATTTATCTGTGTGAGTATTACGCTAATGTATTTGTGTATATGCTGGAAATCTAAACTTGTGCCTTAGTGGACTGTGGGCACGCCATTGTCTTTATTATTCCCTAAACTCGATTAAGTTGTACAAAAATCACATAACATCTTGTAAGTATATTGGTTTTGCTCATTTAAAATAAAAAATATTAAATGAACAAAGCAGTCTAGAAACCTAATGGGCATGTTTGATGAATGTTTACCGAGCTTATGTCTCTTCCTCAGGAGCAATATCGTAAGTGATAACAGGCATATGCTGCTTGGACTCTCTGACGGATCCTTGTATGGCATTTCTTGGAAGGGAGAGGTATGCTTTATCTTTTTTACTGGCTATTTACTTTCAGGATCAGAGTTTTCTGTAAGACGTTGGTGCTTTGATCTGTTCAGCCTGAAGAGGGTTGTCTTTGTTGATTATGATTTAATTTCTTTCTTTACATCATAATGTCTGCGCAGTTTTGTGGGGCTGTTGGACTTGACCATCCCATACGAAATGAGAGTGATAAAGTTACTGACTTACCACATCCTGTAAGTAATGGAATTGGGTATAGTCTTCATCGAGAAATGGAGATGATGTTTGTGAGTTTATAGGGTAAATGGGTCAGGATAGGGTGCTTTGCAAGTGTTTGATGAATGACCCAGTTCTCCAATTTGCGAATAGACGTGCAATTTTGGACTTTTTTTTATGCTGTTGCAAATAGCGAGGCGAGGCTCGAATCGGCGTGAGTTCTTTCTTGGGTGTTCTTCCTTTTTTTTTTCTGGGGGAAAGGAAGAAAATGGAGAGGACAAAGCTATCGTTGGATAGATGCTCAAGAACACTCAGACTTCACTTGCAGAAGGTAGTGCTTCATGTGTTAATTTTTTTGAAGCTTTCTTTGGATAGATGCTCATTCTCTTGCTTGTCACTTCAGAACAAGAACGCAATCACCAGTTGACAAAGCCTGTAACTGCTGAAAAGGTAGGATATGGTTCTATGTATTGTTGATATTCGCATTGAGGTTGGCAATGAGAACCTTGCCAGAGTACAGTTGTGCTGTTTTTGTGCATATTGGTCATCACTTTTGTTTGTTTGCAGATGGAAACAAGAAAAGCAGAGCTTGAGACTAACCTTGCAACTAATCTCAAGAGGCAGAAGCAAGAGTATGAGGCTATTATATCCTCATCAGAGACTGATTTGCCTGAAAATGAAGCGGAATCAAAGTGGCAGGAGCTAAAAGATACTAAATCATTGGTCATTGATGCAACCAAGCGATTAGAAGGTGGAAATTTTGGATTAATCGGAATATTGTTGTCTTGAAGCTTTAGATTTTGTTCGCGCTTTTGATTGAAACAAAAATTATCAGGAATTAATAGAAGTACAGAGGAAACAAATAAGCAAATAAAAAAGATCAAAGATGAGATGGCAAAGTTGAAGGTATTATTTAATTTTTTCAGTGTGGACTAAATGTTGGTATTCAACTCTTTGGTTTCTTCTCAAATGATTGCTCGAATGCAGGCTTTGGAGGACACCTATGAGAAAACACTTCACGATGAAACTAAAGAACTTGAACAACTCTTTAGCCGGAGGAATACTCTTATAGCTAAAAAGATGAGTACTCAAAAAAGATAAGGAACTTGGGCCCGTTATCTTCTGATGCTTTTGAGACGTATGTTCCCTTGTCTAACTGTGAAAATGTTTTGACTGTGAAAATGTTTTGACTTTGAAAATGCTTTTGAGGCGTATGTTCCCTTTGCTACTGAATTTTAATTTGGTTTCCACTATTGAAGCTCATCATACCTCATTTTATATGTTTGAGATTATAGTTATAGACGAAGGAGCATCAAAGAGTTGCAGAAGATGCTTCACAGATGCAACGAGCAGCTCCGATAGTTTAGTCATGTAAACAAGAAAGCACTTGATCAGTACGTGAACTTCACAGAGCAAAGGAAGTGAGCATCTCACATGGACCGTGTCTTTAGTTTTGTTCAGTATTTATATGATGGAGATTGTCGCTAAAAGCCGGATATTCTTTTTTGATTCATTTCTGTCGTCATTGTTTATTGTGCAAGATTATTTATTATGCAAGATTATTTATTCTCTCATTATGTGTACTATAAAGAAAAATATTTATGTCATTCTTGTGGAAAATGTAGATGAATGTATTTTATTTTCATATTATTATAATATTTTGATGTTATTAAGTGCTTAATCAATGTTAAATATAAATTTCAGAAATTAATTTTGCTTTTAATTAAGTTTAAAATCGAAAAAATAAAATAAATGATTTTATCGTATGATCACAAATTATAAAAGTTCGTTACAAAAATAAAATTTCGTCGCTAATTTCGTCCCTAAACGATATTCATCGCAGAGTTTGTCGCTAAAGAATTAATAAAAAATCGTTGCTAAATTTGTTCATGAATAATGTTCATGGCAAAAGTCAATTTTTCGTGACAAATTTGCGACGAATTTTGCTACGAGTAAGTTCGTCGCAAATTACAAACAAAAAAAAATTCGTGCCAAATTAGCGACGAATTTTGCCACGAATACAGTTCGTGGCAAATTAGTGACGAATTTTGCGACGGAAAAATAAATCCGTCGCAAATTTGCGACGGATTGAAAATAAATCCGTCGCAAATTTGCGACGCAATTTTTGTGACAGAAAATTTTTGCGACGAATTATTTGCGACGAATTTTGCGACGGATAAAATTCGTGGCTAATTTGCGACGAATTTTGCGATGAATTTTTTTCCGTCGCAATTTTGTGACGGAAATCGAAATTTTCCGTCGCAAATCGATTTTGCGACGGATTTTGCCAAATTTTTCGTCGCAAAATTCGTCGCTAATCCCTTGTTTTTTTGTAGTGTCCATAAACTTTAGCTTAATGTGTAATATCGTCCATAAACTTTTAATTTGATGTTCGAATTAATCTCCGAACTATATGAACATGTTGTTCCTAAACTTAAATTAATGAAAGGATAATGTTGTATATTTTTTATATAGTCCAAGGACTAGTTTGAATATTTACAAAAAATTCAAGGAGCACATTAAACAAATTAAAAGTTAAGGGACGACATTGCACATTGAATTAAAGTTCATGGATCATATTGAATAAATTAAAAATTTAAAAATTATATTAAATATTAAATCAAAATTCAAAGATCATTTACGACAGTATCTCTTGATTCCTTCCTTGTCGGAAGTCCAGCTCAATCGTAGTGCCCACGCGAGAAAATAGGAAAGGAGTAAAAGTCCTTGCATGGTTGTTCAGTGAACAGGGCCTGTTCCAAGGACCAATGGGGAAAGAAGAAGAGGATCTCAAAGAGGCCCTGATGCAAAAGCCCACAATCCACTTCCTCCAAGTCGAGCCCCTGTTTAACGCTGCCGCTCTCCTCGCAGTTGCAGCCTTGCAGGTAAAGGAGACGACGACCCACGCTCCACTTGCAGTCCTGCTTGCTTCCTAGAACGTTGGAAGCGGAGACGAGAGGAGGGAGGAGGGTTTTTCCTTGGCGGGGTTTTGTTTTTTTTTATCTCCTCGTCACCTGAGAACCATAGAGGAGAGCTCTTTCGCCGATCGCAATGGCCGACGACGACTACAACGACATGGACATGGGGTTCTCTCTCTCTCTCTGTCTCTCTGTTGTCTCGGGCTCTCTTCTTGAATTTTTCGCAGTTTCTAAGCATTGCGTGTTAATTCCTCGAGCCGATTCTGTTTCCTACTTCGACGTGGATTGCTACTTTGGTAGTTTGATGGCGCCATGATCTAGCGCACACAGTGATTGCCGTTGTGTATGAAAGTACCGAATTGAGACTTTTTACGACAAAAGTTAAATGGTATGCTAGGTTCGGTGAAACAATTGATTGTGTTCATGACCTTTTGCCTACTATGTGGATACTGCTAGTCTGTGCTTTCCTTGGATCCTATTATGCGAAATTGAGTTACGTTATCTTCACTTAGATTTTGCTGTAATCCTTCTCCAATTCCGCTCTAGCACTTCATTGGTTTGGTCTGTTTTTTTGTTGTTCTAATATTGGCACAGCGATACTGCCTCACTAGAGTCTGGTTATATTAGTCAATTGGCCCGTTGAAGTTGCGTATGTTTTCTGAATTAATAAATGCTATGCTAGTTTTGGGTTTGCAATAGTTCTTCTTAGATGCTTATATATTCTATTGATGCAGAAATGAGGATGAACCACCAGAGCCTGAGATTGAGGTAAGGGTCCATTTCTCACGTGCTGTTCTTAGATAGTTGAAGAATTTTCCGGCTGACAGTTTTGACGAATGCAAACAGGAAGGTGTGGAGGATGAATTGGATAACAACAACAATGAAGACGTTCCACACCCTCTTGATACCGAAGATAAAGGAGAGCAGGAACCTGTAGAACGGCCTCATAAGACATCAATGTACATGACCAAATATGAGCGCGCAAGGATTTTGGGCACTCGTGCCTTGCAGATCAGGTCTGTAGTATGAACCTCACTATTTCGAGTCCTTGAGATCTAATTAATTGGGTGGTTAACAAAACTTACCTTGATTGCGCAGCATGAATGCACCTGTAATGGTTGAGTTGGAGGGCGAAACTGATCGTCTAGAGGTATGAACCTTCCTCAAGTTATCACAGTGAGTTCTTTTAATACTTAAAGTTGCGTACGCAAGAACGATTCGCGCCCTAATGCATTCCGATAAGAAATGATTCTTTTTGATTACGTACTAGGGAAGCGATTCTAAGCATTTAAAGGCGTTTGGTAACGGTCCAAAATTTCTATTCCTGAAATATTAAAAGAACAGAAATGCGTTTGGTAACTGCATAAAATTTCTTTTTATTAATAATATTTTAATAACATTTTAAATATTTTAATATTTCTTTTTTTTCTTTTTTTCTTCTCCTCCTTCTTGGCCATGGCCGGTAAAATATTTTTTAATTAATAATAATTTTATTAAATTTTTATTTTTTTGGCCATGGTCGGTAAAAAAATTTCTTTTAAATAAATTTTTTATTAATAATTTTTTTAAAAATATTTTACTAAAAAATATTTTTATCGAAAATATTTTTTTCTTTTTTTTTCGCTATGGCCTGGTCGCTGGCCATGGCCGGAAAAAATATTTTTTTATTGAAATTTTTATTTTTATTTTTTTGCCATGGCCTGATCGCTGGCCATGGCCGGTAAAATATTTTTTTATTAATAATATTTTTTTTATTTTTTTCGCCATGGACTGGTCGCTGGCAGGTAAATTTTTTTTTATTAATAATATTTTTTAATTTTTTTTGCCATGGCCTGGTCGCTGGCCATGGCCGGTAAATTTTTTTTATTAATAATTTTTTTTATTAAAATATTTTAATCTCGCCAAATACGGAGAGGGTGGCCCTCGCGTCGGATATTAGAAGCTATATTAAAAATCAAGAAAAAGAAGAAAAAAAAACTGATTCTCATTTTTGTTCCCAGAATCAAGAAGCTACTTTTTTTTGTTTCTTGATTCTGCTCCAAAACTGATTCTGGACACAAATTTGCAAGAATTTGTGCCCATAATCAAAAAATTAAACAAATGGATTTCTATTTCCAAACTGATTCTGGGAACAAAAGAACAGAATCAAACACTATTTGGCAAATTGCCATGCGCAGCTTTAAAGTGCCAAATGATGCATTAGCACACGCAATCTTATGAAACTCAGATGTCACTTGACAAGCTATCTGGCCTGGACAGCTTATCTATATTTTCTTTTTGACCGGAATTCAGCTTATCTATACTTAGATGTGCCTTAATTGATGTGACATGGATCTGATCCAATAGCCCGATTGCAAAACTGGACCTGGCCTTGTAGAAATTCTTCTATTGAAGTAACACTAGATAGATCTGCTACGACGGGCTTAGGAGATAATGGGGTTTTCTAATGTGATATTCCAAAAACCTTAGACCATCCACGTGTACAGGATGTAGTGTAGAAAATTTTGTGCGGCTTTTGATTTTGTCTGTATGTCCAAGATATAGAGATCCAGAAGAGATACTCTGTCCTCATGCATTTTTCTGATTTTAAGGCAGCATGGTTGTTGTTGCTGTTGTACCAATTTGAATGGCTTCGAATCAAGAGAGCAATCAAGTCGGACTTTGAGGCGTGATATCACTTTTCTTAAGGATTTATTTTTGTTCAACAATGGAGTCGGAGACAATCAAAATCATGAACCAAGACATGGTCAAAGCTGGATCGGTTCGATGGGAACAACTATGCTCGCTTGGAGGGACAAGATGATGTTCCTACTCACGCCCGAAGATATCCTATATTCCTGGATCCAAAATTGGCGCCTATTGAAGATCCGAAGCCTACTGTTGAGGGAGAACAACCAAGTGCGGAAGCCGTTGAAAGGGTTAACAAGGAAAAGAGGAAACGTGAGGAGGATGAATTGCTGTGTCGTGGACACATTCTGAATACACTGTCTGATAGATTGTATGACTTATTCACTGAGATGAAGTCGGCCAGAGAAATTTGGAACGCACTGGAATTCAAGTACAAAGCGGAGGAGCAAGGTACCAATAAGTATTTAATCGCAAAGTATTTTGATTTCAAGTTTATTGATACTAAGCCCTTGCTGGAATAAGTCCACGAATTACAAGTGCTCGTCAACAAAATTCGTGCCCTCAAAATTGAAATTCCAGAAACCTTTCAAGTTGGAGCAATTATTGCAAAATTACCTTCAACTTGGAAAGACTACGGAAAAAGGCTGATGCATAAGTCGGAGGACTTCACCTTGGAGCAAATACAGAAACATCTTCGTATTGAGGAAGAGTCACGTACACGTGATAATTCTGTTTTGTATAATTCCAAGGTAAATGCTGTGGAGAGAAAAAGAAAATTCGGCCAGAACTTTAAAGTAAAGAATGGGCATACATTTAAGAAGACACACAAGAAGAAGAAGGGTTGTTGTTTTGTTTGTGGCAAACAGGGACACTATGCCAAGGACTGCATTCATCGCAAGAGCATAACAAAGGACAAGAACATTCCAACGGTGAAGGCAGATGCAAATTTGGTTGAAGAGAACTATGTGGCCATGATTTCAACCAAGTTTTCAAATATGAACATTGCTGAAATCGGTGGTTCGATGGCTATGATTTCTGAGATCAATTCTGCCACTGTCCAATCCGGTTGAGATTTCACTTCTGGAAAGAAGATAACTCTTCTTAATGTGTTGTTTGTACCTGAAATTAGGAAAAACCTAGTTTCTATTGATTTACTTTGTAAAAGGGGGTTTCGGGTTTTGTTTGAATCCGACAAGGTTATCCTGTCGAAGAATGGGCTATTTGTTGGAAAGGGCTATCCCAATGATGGCATGTATCAATTGAGTATCAATAATAATATCGCTACTTCTATTTATATTGTTGAGTCTTTATCTTTATGGCATAGTAGGTTGGCACATATAAATATTCGTTATTTAAAGAATATGAAAAAGTTAGACTTGATAAATTTCAATGGTGACATCGATAAATGCGAAATATGTGCTAAGTCTAAATTAACTAAGAAACCATTTCCTAGTGTCAAAAGAAATTCGAATTTATTGGAATTGGTGCATAGTGATATATGTGAATTCAATGGCATGTTAACTCGAGGTGGTAAAAGGTATTTTATTACCTTTGTGGACGACTGTAGTAGATATTTATACGTTTATCTCATGAGGACGAAAGATGAAGCTTTTACCATGTTCAAGAAATATAAGGCTGAAGTAGAAAATCAATTGGAAAGGAAAATCAAAGTTCTACGTTCAGATAGAGGTGGAGAATATTTCTTGAATGAATTTTCTTCATTCTGTGAAGAACATGGTATCATTCATCAAGTTTCGGCACCATACACTCCACAACAAAATGGTTTGGCCGAAAGGAAAAATCGTTCCCTCGGAGAAATGGTTAATTGTATGCTTTCGAATTCAAAGCTACCAATTAATCTTTGGGGAGAAGCATTGCTTACTGCATGCCATATTCATAATAGAATACCATCCAAGAGAAATGACATAAGTCCTTATGAAATATGGAAGGGTAGAAAACCAAACTTGTCATATTTTAAAGTGTGGGGGTGTTTGGCATACTACCGAGTACCGGACCCCAAGAGAACTAAACTTGGTCCTAGAGCTATCAAAAGTGTCTTTATTGGATATGCTGAAAACAGTAAAGCTTATAGGCTTTTTGACTTAGAATCCAATGTCATTGTAGAATCAAGAGATGTTGAATTCTTTGAGAACAAATGTTCTACAGGTTCTGAAATTATTGAAAATAATTCAAGACCTATAGAAACTCATGTAGATTCTCAAGAGAAAGGAACAAATGATTCTAGAGACATGACTGAATTGAGGAGAAGCTCTAGAGCAAGAAAATCTAAGGATTTAGGTCCAGATTATATTACTCACGTTTTCCTTGTTGAAGGAGATAGAGAAAATAACGTGGTAAATAAATACCCCATTGTATTAAATTTAGAAGACGATCCTAAATGTTTTAGTGATGCTATGTCTTCTAGAGATGCTTCTTTTTGGAAAGAAGCTGTAAATGATGAAATGGACTCAATTATGTCCAACAATACTTGGGTGTTAGTTGATTTACCGAAAGGATCCAAGCCTATTGGATGTAAATGGGTCTTTAGGAGGAAATACAATTCTGATGGTTCTATCCAAACTTTTAAGGCTAGATTGGTGGTCAAGGGGTATAGACAAAAGGAAGGAATAGATTATTTTGATACGTATGCTCCTGTTGCACGTATAACTTCTATTCGAATTCTTTTTGCTATAGCTTCCATTTATGATCTTTGTGTTCATCAAATGGATGTCAAGACTGCTTTCTTGAATGGAGACTTAAATGAGGAAATTTACATGGAACAACCAGAGGGTTTCGTTCTTCCTGGAAATGAAAGGAAAGTATGTAAATTGACTAAGTCTCTTTACGGACTTAAGCAAGCTCCTAAGCAGTGGCATGAAAAATTTGACTCAGTCATATTATCTAATGGTTTCATTCACAATAGTGCTGATAAGTGTATATACTCTAAATTCACTAAAGACTATGGTGTCTTAGTGTGCTTATATGTCGATGATATGCTTATCTTTGGAACAAATATGACTGGAATTATCGAGACTAAGAAGTATCTAACTTCCATGTTTAAAATGAAAGACTTGGGTGAAGTAGATACTATCTTAGGTATTAAAGTTAAAAAACATAGTGGGGGTTATTCTTTGAGCCAATGCGATTACATTGAAAAAATGTTAAATAAATTTCAACATCTTGGTTTCAAGGACATAAGTACTCCATTTGATTCTAGTATTAAATTAAATTATAATACTGGTAGGGCTGTAGCACAACTTGAATATGCGAGTGCTATAGGGTCTTTAATGTATGCGATGCATTGTACTAGACCTGATGTTGCTTATTCTGTGTGCAAGTTGAGTAGGTACACTAGTAATCCAAATATGGAACATTGGAAAGCTATTACTAGAATTTTTGGTTATCTTAAGAGAACTAAAAATTTAGGCTTGTTCTATAATAATTATCCAGCTGTATTAGAAGGATACACCGATGCTAGTTGGATTACAAGTGTGGGTGATAAATATTCCACTTCAGGATGGGTTTTCACTCTAGGTGGAGGTGCTGTTTCTTGGGCGAGCAAGAAACAGACATGTATAACTCACTCAACTATGGAGTCAGAATTTGTTGCTTTAGCGGCAATTGGGAAAGAGGCTGAGTGGATTAGGAATTTGTTGTTGGATATCAAATTATGGCCTAGTCCTATGCCTCCTATTTCTATCCATTGTGATAGTCAGGCTACTTTGGCAAGAGCTTATAGTAGTACCTATAATGGGAAGTCTAGACATATTAGCCTAAGGCATTATTTTGTGAGACAATTGATTAAAGATGGTACCATAACAATTGTCTACGTGAGGTCAAGTAATAATTTGGCTGATCCTTTGACAAAGGCATTACCAAGAGATATGGTAAAAATGACCTCACAAGAAATGGGGCTGAAACCCTTTAATTAAAATCACCAGTAATGGTAACCCAACCTTTTTCTAGAACATCACTAGTTAGAAGGTTTAATGGGTAAGAACAAGTTACTGAATGTGATTGTTTGATACTGACGCTAGCCCTAATATGAGAAGTTAGTATCGTCTGTTACGTTTTAGAGGATGAATTGAATTCTTAATGAAGTATAGTACAAACTTGTAATGTGTTAATAGTAACAGAAACACATGATAGATACTTCACCTATATGAGCTTAGGAGTGGTGCCGCTTCTTACGAAAGTTTGGGTTACTTTCTAGAGAGCTCGTGAAACAGGATCAAGCACAAGGCCATAATAGTGCGGAGTAATATAGAACTTCTCGCTGAAACAAGAGGTTAGTATATGTGCGGTATGTCCGATTCTATTATTTAAAAGTACAAGTTTAAAGCCGAGCTACTTGTCACTTTGATAGAGTTTTGAGATACTTGCACTAAGTAAAGGTTTAACTCGAAAGAGACCTTTATGCATGTATATTAATCTCACCGAAATCTTGGCTGTATGGTTTTTAAAATTTTAAATTTTTTTTAAAATCTTTGTTTTACAAACAAAGTGGGGGATTGTTGGATGTTTGTTTGTAAAACAAACAAAACAATGCTTTTTCCTTTGTCCCACATAGGAAAGTTTTGGGTAAGTGGGCCATTTTATAACTGTGAGTGTCTTCTTACTCCTTAGAGTGAAGACAATGGGGTGTGTGCTAGTCCATACAATACCCGCGTGCGGGTGCGCGAATAATTGCGCGATTTTGGCGCGATTATTAGGCGCACTTAGCACTTTGCACGCTTGCGCGGCCGCGGTTTAATTAGCTCTAATCCCTTTAATTTTTATTTTATTTCGTAAGGTTATCTCCTTAATCTTTATGGCATAGTAGGTTGGCACATATAAATATTCGTTATTTAAAGAATATGAAAAAGTTAGACTTGATAAATTTCAATGGTGACATCGATAAATGCGAAATATGTGCTAAGTCTAAATTAACTAAGAAACCATTTCCTAGTGTCAAAAGAAATTCGAATTTATTGGAATTGGTGCATAGTGATATATGTGAATTCAATGGCATGTTAACTCGAGGTGGTAAAAGGTATTTTATTACCTTTGTGGACGACTGTAGTAGATATTTATACGTTTTATCTCATGAGGACGAAAGATGAAGCTTTTACCATGTTCAAGAAATATAAGGCTGAAGTAGAAAATCAATTGGAAAGGAAAATCAAAGTTCTACGTTCAGATAGAGGTGGAGAATATTTCTTGAATGAATTTTCTTCATTCTGTGAAGAACATGGTATCATTCATCAAGTTTCGTGAAGAGTTGCCTATGAAGACCGATTTCTATATATGTCAGTTTTTGGCAAGAAGGAATTATCATTCAATTTTTTCAAGTCTTCTTTTCGAAAAACTACAGCCATCATTTTCAATTGTTTCCTAGAGAGACCCTGGAGAAATACTAGAATTGCTATCTAGTATTCTCATTTTGAGACTTTGTTGTATCCTGGAGGATTTTTGCCGGTGACCATTAGCAGCATTGTGGGGCAAATAAATCCTTAAGGAAAGTGATATCACGCCTCAAAGTCCGACTTGATTGCTCTCTTGATTCGAAGCCATTCAAATTGGTACAACAATCTTAAGGAAAAAGCATTGTTTTGTTTGTTTTACAAACAAACATCCAACAGTTGCGACATTGAAAGACTAGATGAGATACTTATAAGGTCGTAGACACCGATGGTAGAGTATCAGGACTCGTAATTAACTTAAGTCTAGCTGTTTTAGCTTCTTCTTGAGCTAAGTTTTGTAAATATTTTAATCCAATTTTGGTTTTAAGCATCTGAACTAAGTAGGATGGCATCATTCGATCACTTTGTTTGATTAAATCGCGTTAAATTTGCACCATTTCTATGTTTATGAACTGAAATTCCCAGAAGCCCTTTCCGTTCACATGATATTTGAGGATTGGTTCCAAACAAATGCTTTAATGTGTACAATGACTCAAAAAGCAAATTGAGTGGGCCTATTCTTTGGTGACCACGTCAATGACAACTCACTTAAACCCTTTCTTGTTCCCCTACTACGGCCACATAATACGATGGGGGTATGATCTTTTAGTACTGTCAATAATTTCTTATATATGAGCATTGCTCAATGTCTCCATCCTATCATTACAATGGACACATTCTTTGCATCCCAACTTGACTGGATTCTTTTGCAAGCCTTAGATTGCAATGAAGGAGCTTCGAGAGAGGAAAATACCATTCACCATCCGCCGCTACCTTCCAGATGGAAGGTGAATTCTGCTTCCAGCTCTTGATACTTTGGCTTTTTACTCCACCGTGGTGAAAATCATAATTCGACTTTTGCCTTGGATTTATCAAGACATTAAATAAAATATTTTTGCCATCTGTGCTTGATTATAATATCATCTAATGCGATATTATGTGATTTTCAAGTTATGAGGATTGGGGAGTTGATGAGTTAATTGTGGAAGATTCCTGGAAGAGGCAAGTTGGTGGTGATTGATGCCTGCCTTGCATCAAGTTGAAGAGTGGATCCATGATCCATGCTTAAATGCTAGTGGTTTTATCCAGTGCTGTGAGAAAACCAGCAAACAGACTTTCACATGCATCAGGATGCTGAACCTTCTGATTTACACATTGATGCTCCGTCCTTGGATCTTGAGAGATATGGTAACTTTAGTGGCTCACATGCTGATTGGCTCATCAGAATTTACTGGTTATCGTAGTTTCAAATTGGTTCTTCCACGATTTTTGGCCATTTATGTGAAAGATCGAAGAATGCCATGCTGATCGACCATGTGAAAGCCGGATGCGTGGATGCTTGCAACCTACCCTTGCTTTCGGTGAGTCATCTTTGTCCTTGTTCCGCCCTTTCCACACCAGATCCACTAGCATATGAGAAACGGGACTTCAGTTATTTATTGTATCAAATGCCGTTACGCCACGTCCCCAAAGGTAAGAATCTTGTGGCGGGAGTCGCCGCACGCGCTTGTCCGGGAGTACTGGGGCAGGTCTCATCCCGTGGTTTCGAATTCTTGGATGAACTCTGACCCACCTCCAAAGTAGAGCTCGTCTCATTATTCTCTCGACTATTGTTTACTAAAATGTCTCTCAAGTTTTTCAAACTGACTAACATTGAATATTTGGCCACAGGAGGCATTCGCAATACGAAAACCAGACAGATTAGATGGTGACCACGTGGTTTTCGTCCTCAGGATGTGGGGACTGGCAAGTTTTTGTTTAGTAATCGTGTGATTCCCGTGGATTGGCCAACTAGAAGTGATTACTTTATCGATGGGCAATCTCGGTCATATCCAGAATCTTTTTCTTTAGTAATTTGTGCCCCCGAAACATGACTCGTCCACAAATCAGAAATCATTTACGTGACGGTATATCTTTCCTCGGTACCAACTTGAGATAGAGCAAGTATAATATAATCTCATCTCATTGTTACAATATCTCCGCCCATCTCCTAGCGAGAATCAGCGACAGCACCTGCAGAGTGGAACGGGTGCGACTAGGAATGGTCCATTTATGATGTTCTTGGTTCAGATTTTCGTGTTATTCAGACTGTCTATAGCCTGCGTACGTGAACCCGAGGGAAAAGTGTAAAAAAAGTCCTAAAACTTTTACATTGGTGTCAATTTAGTCATGCACCTTTTTTTGATGCCAATTTAGTCTTAAACCTTTTGCATTGGTGTTAATTTAGTCCTAAATCTTTTTGGTGACAATTTAGTCCTAAACCTTTTGCATTGGTGCCAATTCGAGTCCTAAATTTTTTGCATTGGTGCCAATTCGGTCTTCGACACGTGAATAGCTATTAGTCGGGACCAATCAAGACAAACGCAGGTTTAGGACTAAAGTACAATACAAAAGGTTTAGACTGAATTGGCACCAAAAATGTTTAAAACTGAATTTGCACAAATGCAAAAGGTTTAGGACTGAATTGGCACAAATGCAAAAGGTTTAGGAATAAATTGGCACAAAAAAAGGTTTAGAACTGAATTGATGCTAATGCAAAAGGTTTAGGATTGAATTGACACCAAAAAAAGGTTTATGACTAAATTAGCACAAATGCAAAAGGTTTAGAACTTATTTGACACTTTTCTCGAGAACTCGACGTGGGTTATCTTGATTGAATCTCGAAAAGCTCTCCATTTCGAAGGATGTCGTGTCGTCGTCGTAGGGTTGTATTTGACTTTTATTGGGACGAAAGGGGTGAAAGATTTATATTTGACTTTCATTGGGGCGTCAATTTAGTCCGAATCTAACTGTCGAATTCAAGGCGCCCACGTGTTATGAAGGGTCGTTCGTAGTGTTAGAGCTTACCGGAATTGAACAATTGAATAAGGTTTGATATCTAACGTTTGACCGGTGGATTGGAGTCTCGTTTGCTTTTCCATCTTGGCAACCTTAAATCTTTCCCTTCCCCTTTTCATAGCCTAGAGCAGCGCTTCTTGGGTCATTGGTCGCGCTATACTAAACTAACGCCGAGGTAAAATCGTCCCATGCCGCGGCCTATCAATCTGACCACACCACAAAATGAATTCATCTTGCATGTTACCATCTTAATAAGCGTAAAATAGATGTGATCTTCCCATTTCGCTCTTGTTATCATGTATTGGCCCAATTAGAGTTCATTCTATGTGGAGTTGAGTGAATGTCCTTAGCTAATAGCAAACCAAGCCCCACTCTCTCTCTCTCTTCACTGTACACGTGTGACGGGAAGACACGTGTTTAGGATGAGGAAGAAGCACAACTCCAACAACGAGAATGTGTGGTCCGTTCCGCTCGTGCCGACTCAGCGCCACGTACCCTTGCGGGCTTGAGTTAGGTAAAAGTCTGTAGGTTGCTTTCCTAAAAGATTCAAGCCCTGTTCATGTCGCAAAGAGCTAAATCGAAGGTGGCAACAGATCCATTCGCAGACGGCGATGGCAATGGAGGGGGGGTCCGACAAGGCATGCAATAAAAAGAGAGAAGAAAATGGAGGGTCCGACAAGGCACGCAATAAAAAACAGAAGAAAATGGAAGGTCCGACAAATCCCCCATCTTTGGATTTTGCACCTTTTTTCAAGAATTTTTATCATCGGGTTTTCACTTTCAAAGGTGAAACTTAACTTTCCTTTGGGCCATGCGCATCTCGTGGCTAGCAAAAGATGTCTCGCCGCAGGAGAGCATCTAACATCATTTGGGGCATGGCATTCATCCCCCCTTTTTGCCATCACAAGCAGACCATGTTTTTTTTTTTTTCCGTAAAGATTAGTCCTGTTTTTATAGATTTGATTTCCTTAATCTAGATCCGACAAGAGTACTTAAGTCACTCGAAATTATATGGGAGAGAAGCTACGATTCGATGTCAGGTGACTCTGCCACACCATTCGCATTTCAGGGGAAAACATGAAGTAGGATGATTTTCTCGAAAGAAGTCAAAAGTGAACATTATTTCAAATAATTATCTGAAATGGTCAAGTCGGTTTTAAATAAGGGCATGAAGCGGACTAGTCGGTCTCAAATAAATGCCCGAGCATGTCGGCCGACATACTTAGGCCTTTATTTGAGACTTTACCGACATGCTCGGGCCTTTATTTGAGACTCTTAATCACTCCAGGCTTTTTAATTTGAAATAAGGTCCATTTTGGGTATCATTTGACACTTCGATCTTTACTTGGAATTTCGCTTTTTTACGGATAATGAGATAAAAGGAAAGAACAGACGAACCAAGTGCACGAAAGGAAGGATTTAAAGAAGCAGTGGACGGCTATCACTGGGCATGCATAGTGTCGACACCTCCCGTTCGCACCAGCCACCGCACCAATTCCGATTCTTCATCTGTCCACTCTTTTCCTTTCCACTGGCCAGTAAGAATTGCCAACAGAGGTCAAGTTTCTTCCCTTCTTTCGTATAAAAAAATGTGTAGAAAATCACATTCCATTCCATGCACACTCATGTCCACGTCCCCTTTGGCAACCCTGCCTTTATCCCTTCCTTTCTTCTTCTTCTTCTCCTCGTCCTCCTTCTCTCTCCCTCTGTTTCTGTCTCTCTGTTTCTCTCTTTCTTTTCCCTCTTTGTATATGCCATGACCAGTGTCTCTCCCTCCTTGAACATGAAGAAAAAGGTGACTCCACTTCCCATCTCGTGGCCCTTCAACTCCCACCTCATCCACCCCCTCCTCCTCTACCTGTAGATCACAAGCTGCTCTCATCTTCTTGATTCTGTCACTTTCTCTGTTTCTCCCCCCCTTTCTGAAAAGCAAGAACGATTGCGAAGTCTTTTTTATGGGGGCTGGAATATCTGGAATTGCAAGTGACGGAGGCACGGAGTGTGTTTCTCCTCAGGGGAGGACTGGGCTTGGGGACGTGCCAGAGAGCTGCATCTCCCTGATCCTTGCTTCCTTGGACCCTCCCGAGATCTGCAAGCTGGCACGCGTGAGCCGTGCCTTCCACGGTGCTTCGTTGGCCGATTTCGTGTGGGAATCGAAGCTGCCCTCCAATTACAGGTTCCTGGTTCGCCGGGTTCTTGGCGAAAATCCCGACGACTTGTCGAAGAAAGAGGTCTATTCCAGGCTCTGTCAGGCCAGTTGCTTTGATGGTGGCACCAAGGTAAATAACTCTGTCTGCCAAAATCACATGTAATTAGCTGTATTTCTGTCATCGCATCAGAAACCGGGTTTAATTCGGTTGATCCATGTGGCTCCTGTCAAGCCTGAATTTTTACTGAATTCGAATTCGATTTGATTTCTTTGATGTTTTGAACATGCAGGAATTTTGGTTGGATAAGATAAGCGGGGACATATGTTTGTGTGTTTCTGCGAAGGCATTGAAGATCACTGGGATTGATGATCGAAGATACTGGAATCATATTGCAACTGATGAATCTAGGTACCTTACTTGCCCCCGTCTTCATGCTTCGCTGTTTCTCTGTTAGATTGATTCTGGTCGCTAGTAGGGGGCGAGATATGAAAAGCATGAGCGCAGAAAACTTGAGCTCAACTCCCCCATCAGCGAGTGAATATCGCTTTTGGGTCTTTTTGATTGGGAGTCGGTTGTGCGTGATCAGTTTCTGGTTTAGTTGTGTAGAGTTCTAATAGACCCGAACGATGTCGATTCTTGTACATAACCAAGCCGAACAGATGGTCAACAAGAAGATTGAGAAAATCTAGGCGAAAGTCGGTGCTCTTTTTAGCAGGTAGGGAGACATTTAACCCAATTGGGAACTCTTGGCTTCTGAGGGGGATATAAGAACTTGTGCTAGAAAGAAAAGGCTTCTCAAAGAAGATATTCACCAGGGCTTTGTGAGATTTGTCATGTGCAAGGTTACTTTTGTTTGGAGATTAAGATGATCATGTTCATACAGTTTGAAAGCCTGACTAATTTGGTGTAGGAGGGATCTAGAACTGTTATATTCGGCATCGAGTTCCATAAGGTAGAAAAAACTTACTGTTGATTCCATAATTCACACGGAAAAAGCCCGAACCCTCGGCCCTTTTTTCGGGAAAAAAGGAAGTTCCTGAGGAGTGAGAAGCACTGTAGATGGGAAAACATTACTTCCGCAACACAAAGCAACAAAGATTCTATAAGCTGGAATGAGAGCAACCGGTTGCACTTGAAAGCTAAAAATAAATGAAGGCAGGCTAGGACAAGGTCCAACTTGGAATACAGAATTCATTTCATGAATGAATTTACTATTCTTAGTCTAGTCTCCTAGATTTTCTAATGTTTGGACCCTAAATTGATTGAAAAGACATGGTGCCATGGTGACCTTATCCTGACGCAAGATCAAGTCCCTTCCAAGGATTCCAACTTGCAAAACAGAGCATTCAACTAGGGTTCTGGATAAGCTCTAACGCAAAGAAACTATTTTCTTTTTGAATTGCTTGAAATCCTCCGGCATAATTGTGTCGCTGTCCCTTTTGCCTAGTAATTAATTCGAACCATGGGGCCTCGGAAATAATTTTCTGGCTTAGCCGGATGCAAGTCTTCTTATAGAATATGTGCAGATTGTTCCCCATGAAAGCTACCTCCAATGGCTAGATGTCGTGTGAAAAGATATCCTTTCTCTCAAGAAAACTTTAGAAGAGAATGCAAGAAACAGGGGACAACTTTATGCTCAAGTAACCCAGTCAAGAATTTAGTTCAGTACGAATCAGCTTTTGATCTTGTTCGATTTAGATTTTGGGAATGAAGATGTCGATTAGCCATACTCTATCGGGCTGCGCCTAATCAAATTATAAGAAATTGGCGAAATCGAAGTTGACCATCGAGAAGAAAGCCAGACCTCTAAATTGCTCTTGCGTTGATAATGATCTTGCTTACTGCTTTGGTCACGAAATATATGTATCTTAACCTCTTTCTGCATTAATTTATCAGGTTCAACACAGTGGCGTATCTGCAACAAATATGGTGGGTAGAATTGGTGGGAGAGATAGAGTTCCAATTCATACCGGGACAATACTCCCTCTTCTTCAGGCTTCAGCTAGGAAAATCCTCCCGGAGATTCGGGAGGAGGGTCTCTAATCTGGATCAAGTCCACGGCTGGGACATCAAGCCCGCCCGGTTTCAGCTGTCGACGTCGAATGGCCACCGCGCGACGTCTGAGTGCTACTTGTGTGATCCGGGCAATTGGGTCCACTACCACGTTGGCGATTTCTACGTCGACAATCCGAACACGCCCATTGGGATCAAGTTCTCAATGGTCCAGATCGATTGCACCCACACCAAGGGCGGTCTCTGTGTGGACTCGGTGCTAATATGCCCAACTAGATTCAAAAAGAGATTGAAACTACCTTAAAGTTAGATCGATATTACAGTTTCTGCATGTAGTTGTAGGAGATGAGGCCTTATTTTTTTCTGTTTTTCTCAGAGATAGGCCTTTGGGTTAGTGGAGATATCTTCCTCGCGCTTTTTCAAGAGAGAGTCGTTCCAATATCTCGTTGTAAATAGTCATTAGAGAAAAGGTTTTTTAGGCTTGTTGTCTAATATGTTATCATTTCCATGGTTGTGTTATAGCTGTATCAAACCGTCCCATAAAATCCACAATGGTTGAGAAAAATAATGACATTGACGACCGACAGAATGCATGGTGATGGGCCAAAGGTGGGGAGAATTGGATGGAGCGAAGCATAGAACAAATGGGCCCTGCAAAACACAATGTTTCTTTCTCTTTTGGGCCCGTGCTTTGATTTGATTGATGGGTCTTTTTCTCAATTTTTCTGGCCCACTTGATTGGTTCATGCTTATCTAAAAGGGAAAATGACACAAATAGTCCATAAATTTTAGCCCAATGTGTAATTTAATCCTTGAACTTTTAATTTGTTCAACGTAGTCCCTGAACTTTAGCTTAATGTTCAATGTGGTCCTTGGACTTTTAATTTGTTCAAGTGGTCCATGAATTTTTGGTACATATTCAATTTAGCCCCAGAATTATATGAAAATATTCAATGTAGTCATTCAAATTAAAAGTTCAGGGACCAAATAACGGCCAAAGTTCAGAGATTATTTGTGTCATTATCCCAATAAAAAACTATTCAGTACACATCTGAAATGATCACATCTATTTGCATCTGCACTCATGTGCATAACGTACTAGATCTCAGTGCATTGGTCATTTCACATAATCGATCTACCCGAAAAAAGAATCACGCGCATTCATATTGACGAACAGATCTGCAACCTCCTATACTAGAAGATGTTGCCCAAGAGCTAGAGTTATAGCCCTTGTTACCGATCTATGGTTGGTGCGATGTCAGACGCTGATAATGACTTGTAAAACTGATGTTTAATCTAACACACATATTCTCCCACTCCTCGAAGTCGACTTTCTGTTTTATTCGCCCTTTCCGCGAAGAGAAAAGGGGTCCGACCTACCTTGGCGATTCGGATTTTCTCAAATGGCATTATTAGAGTACATATAGTTCTCAAAAGTGTGGGACCATTTCTATTCCCATGGACATTGACTCTCTTGGCCTTGGTGCTAAAGTTTGCACGTGAAGGAGGGTGGGACTTTGGCTTCTCTTTATTGACTATGGTTGATGTTTCTTCTTCACTTTGAAATCGTTTGGTTTTGCAGGAGGTCAAGGTTTGCCAAAGGAAAAGGAAAGTGGGAATCTTTTAAATCAACTTGATCTTCGATGTGCTTATTTCACCTAATTATTCACTAATCTGCATCAACTTTTTCAGGCAGGGCCAATAGAATAGCTCGTTTAGCTTTTTTTTTTTAAACTTTGCTTGGTATTTTACACTGCACTATGCTGATGCCCGAAAGAGAGAGCATGCTCTTAATGAAAGAAAAACTTATTTTGGGCCAAAGGAAAGAGGAAAAGATTTTGAATTTGTTAGGTAAGGATCAGCTTTCTTTTTTTTTTTCTGTGGACCATGGTCTCGAAATTTAATATGTACAAAATTTTCTTTATTCGGCGATTTTAAGGAAAATTTATCTTCTCTTGAACATTTACGTTGCGACTTTTTTTGTAACGTAACATAGTAAAAATTCATCCTAATCATTGGCAGGGGGTTGTATTATGCTCTGGTGGTGCAATGAGACCATGTAATCCATTGAGATCGTGAGATAACATAGAAATAAATGAAAAATAGAGAAATAAAGGCAAATGGATTTACGGTGGTCAATCCGAGTGCCAGTACTTACTCGTGGGGTGAGTGTCAGTAATGATATCATAATGAATTAGGCGATTACAAGTCCGAATCTATGTCTCTTTCAATCTTGAGCCCTAATTGCAGCCAATTAATCCTCACCAGTGTTTCATAGATCTCTCATAGTATATTATTCTCAAAACTCACATACAACACCCTAGAAACACTCTCAAGAAACTTTGCCGCAATGTAATGTCACAAAATTAGTAAAGAACTTACTTAATTCCCATGTTTTCGAGGGTTTAGGTCGTCCTCACTCGAGTGCCTGCCCATTGTGGCCGGCCGCTTGCCTTGTGGCCAGTAGCCACATACCTTTGGCCAGGCTTCGCTACTATGGGCATGCACAATTCATCCTTGGACGCATTGTCATATCGCGCTTCAACCCAATTCAACATTTTCAACAATCGATCCTCGCTCGAGTCGTTGGACAAAACATGAGACATACTCGATAATTTTTTAATAAAATTTTGAGATTGAAATTATCTTTTATTTGATTTATGTCCCGGAGAAATTTGAGCTTGCAAGATTTTCGAAAAATTATTGAGCACTTATTATTTTTAACCTTTTTTCCATGAGAACTTGTTGACCCCAATCCAATCTCTAGATACAAAGTTCTAAGATGTGGATGTGGAGTTCACAAAAGATCACACCAGTTGAATTTTTACCAAGCGTAAAATCTTCATCGAGGTAAATTTAGGATCAACAAGAACAGAAAAAAGGAAGAAACGAAAGAAAGCAGGAGAGAGAAAATCCAATTATTTGACCGTCCGATTCTCAATTGTTTCCCATTTGCAGCGTACCCCCCACGGTCTCTCGTTTCTGCATCATCCACATCCCGGTCGGTGGCTTGAAAGTCTCTCTCTTTCTCTGAAAGTTTCCATCTTTTCCGAAGCATCAGATCCAACTCCCCCCCGAGAAAAAAGGGTACATTCCTTTCTTCTGACCCTGTTCCCAGAATCCCAGATGTTGTCCCAACGTTCTCTTCATGCAAATCGGATTTTTCCTTGGTTAAAGTGGTTATCTTTTCTTGTTCTTTTTTGCCCGTGTTTGTCATGAAGCTCCTGGTAGACAGCTAGTTTTGTTATCTATTGGCACCCGGTAAGACGCTGTAAATCATAGATTATATATTTTCTTTTGGCGGGATCGATCCGATTGTCTTCTTTTATTGGCGGCATCGAATTGATTAACTGATTCTTGTCGTGGAAAAGTTACCATCTCCATTTAGGAAAGAAAGGGTCTTGCAGCGTCAGGCTGAAATGAATTTTACTTTTTCGGATATTCTTCAGTGATTGCTGTTTATTTACTCCCCTGGGCAATCTGTCTCGTTTGTCTCAGTTTTATGCCTTATGGTAGGAGCTTTGTTTCAAGAACAGTTATCAATGTATGTGTGATATTTCGTTAATCAGGACCCCGTGGCGGCAATCCTGCAATGGCGTTCTGTGGTGACTTTGTACAGCAGCTTGGACCTGACATGTCTGTAAAGATTTTTATGCACTTGGATGACCCTTCTGAGCTAGCTCGTGTATGTGCCGTGTCGCGTACTTGGCGCCAATTTGGTGAGCATAATTTGCTGATATTTATTGAGTCCTGACTTCTAACTCACTGCTGAGTGCTCCATAGCCTGTATTATGCTGCTTTCACATTTTCACATCACAGCCTTTCTTTAACTATTTTCTGGGGCATTAAGCGTTAGTCTTCGTGTATTTCATTCAAGCAACGAAATTGCTCAATGGTGCTTTCAGAATATTGAAAGTATACTATGTGTTGGGTAATTCATCTGGATTATTGTTTCAATTAAATTGATGGGCTTAGCATGTGCACTTTTCTTGAAACATAGGGAACTCGCTAAATTGCAGCAGTTTTGTTGTTTTGTAACATTGTGCTTTCAAAGTTGCGACAAATGCAAGATTTTTGGTTTTCAAAATCAGAGTAAATCTCATTAGTATGACTACTACATGGAAAAACTGCTGGTTCCCTTACAATTCTCAAAATTTTCCTTTTTTTTCCCTAGTCAATTAAGACAAATTCCATATTTTGTTCGTAATCTGTTTTGGGTTTTGCTGCAGTGATTGCAAATGACCTTTGCAAGATACTCTGTTTGAGGATGTTCCCTGAAGTATCGGGTGTTACCCATGTAGTCGAAGCGGACAACATGATAGAGCCTTTAAAAGTAAGATCTTGCACTTCTCTCGAATGGGAGCAACGTACGAGAAATCATAAAGTCTATGCCTTTCTGGCTCGAGGTCTCACAACTGCTGTTGGGAAGAATTGTATATCAGAGGCCATCAGTGCATCCAGCACTGATAACTACCCCGAGGAAAGCGTACGAAACACTTTGGAACCAAGGGATAGAGTTGAACACAGAGCATCGTACTGGTCAAGTAAAGGTGAATGTGACCCCAAAGTTTCAGAGTCTTTGGTGTACAAGTTGAATGCTAAATTATGCATCGTTACCGAGATCCATATTCAACCATTTCAAGGTCAATTTTGCTTTTGTGAATGCTCGTCTTTCAGTCCTTAAATTTGCTAGTCTTTTTGTGAACTGACAGATGATATTTGTTTTAATATCAGCGTATTTTCAGTTTGGATCTCCTATATATTCAGCTAAGGCTGTCAGATTCAGAATGGGTCATCTAAAAACTCGGAAGATGGATGAAGAAACTGTTGATGACTCTGGAGATGGAGATGAATCAGTAGAGAACAAATATGTGTGGACGTATAAGTCGCCAGAATTTCCAATGGCTCAGGTTAGTTTTATGTCTGAAATGGAAGTGTCTCCATTTTATTACTTGCTGTGAACGTACGAGTTACATTTTGGAGCTTGAGAAGAAGATGATGGCCTTTTAGTTTTTAGTATGGACTTACACAAGGGTCTATGCAGCCGTTTGGACAGAATGGTTAGTTAAAGTATCAAAGGATCAGCATTTTGACTCTCCTTATAGCAATTTAATCCATGATAATTCTGGACTGATATTCCTAATAATTTTAGAAGGATCAGGGGATTTCATATCTTGAAATGCTTCAAAAACACTTAATTCTAGCTCAATGCATGCGATTTTGAGTGGAATAAAGTGAAGAACCTATAATGCTAACTGGATATTATTCAGGAAAATTGCTTGCAACAATTTAAGCTGCCTCAACCTGTACTTAGTATTGGAGGAATCCTGCAAGTTGATTTGTTGGGCAGAGTTCAGAGACAAGAAATGGATGGACTATACTACATATGGTCAGATCTCTCTCTCTCTCTCTCTCTCTCCCTCTCTGATGGGTTTCTTCATTTCCTTAACTGAAGCTCCTAATTTTGTTTGCTGAAAAGATGGTATCGGATGAAATGACTTGGGTCTGTTCATTTTGCGGAAAATGAATGATTTGAAAAATATCTTCCTAAAAAAAATTGGTTGTTTGTATTGTTTAGGAAAATTAGTCAGTGGGAATTTTTTTATTATGAACAACAATCAATGCCTAAACATTTTCATTAATGATAAGAATATATTTTATTTATTAATTTTTAAAACTGATACAAGCTATCATTTTTAGAGAAAGGTTTTCAAATTATTGGTTTTCAGCAAAAGGAATGCACAATTATGGATGGTTATAACTAGAGAGAAATTCCCCTTTAGATGGATGTTGACAAGTTGTTCTTCGTTCTTTCTTTTACTATTGTTATTATGTATTTTTGGCCCTTTCTGAGAGGGTAAGATGAGGCTTTGGAGCATCCTTTTTATGACCATTGACAAATGCTTCATTATCCTTTAACGAATTGACTTTTGCTTAGAAAGTTTGGAAGGTCGAATAAAACTTATGCGAGTCATTAGTAGAGGAGGACATGCCAACATGGAAAGCGTTACTTTTGATAACCCAAGTAGAAGCTTGAGGGGATTCTTCTGTTTTTAATATTGAGGGGAATTTGTCTGTCATTGACACGAGCACAACATTCTGACGCTGTTTCTTTCCCTGGAAACCATGACATTAGAGCTTGTTTCTTCTTTCGTCCTATTTCATCCCACCTCATGATCCCCCTTGGATACACTGGAATTCTGCTTCTGCGCTTTCGTCATAGGTTTTTACGTACTGATTAACAGTGTGAATGTGACTGTCGGTACTTAAAGTGGAACTGTAAAGATTCAGATCGTGTTTGGTCTGTCGTTTTGCGTGGCAAGATTATGCAAAAACAGCTTGATTTCAGCATATTATACATATATTAATGTAATGGCATTATATGCTTGATGCAGTGTAGCGCATGTTCAAGTTCTGGGTCGGCCGCTCTCCCCTGCATTTGATGTCGACATTGTTGACTTGTCAGGAAGATGCACGCTAAAACACTACCCTGGAGTGGAGAGTCGTGCATCTTCTGCGAGCTCGATAAAGGATGAAGACGGTACACCTTCTCGGGTCCGGACCTTTACAGCAATGTTGATGGAAAGAGGTGTAAGGAGTTGGGAGCAAATGATTTTGAGCACAATTCTGGGGACTGCAGTGGTTGTTGACTCCGACGAATCAGACGAAGAGATTCCTGATTAATCTTCACATTGATTCACATTTTACATTGTCCAGATTTTGCTATTTCGGTTTCTTTCTTCTCTGTAAATTTTACTGATGCTGATGCTGTGCCCTTGCTGCAGCGTGGCGGCGGTAATGAGACTAGTGGGTAACCCATTTTATGTCGATACTCCTGAAACCATCTGGAGTTACGGAAATGAGTGATTGGTGTATCTGATCAGATGTATCTTATATCACACGCAAATTGGGAACTGAAACTTAGTATTTCCTAAGGGCCATTCCCGAAAAAATGAGGGAGAGACCGGTGATGATTTTATGCTCTTTAGTGGCCCGAACTGAAACTTGTGGAAGGAGCTTTAGTACATCTTTGGACCTTGAAGAGTTAAAATAGAATACGATCATGCATCTTATATATTGCAGGAACTGGAAGTCAATGAATGTGATATAGGGAACAAGAAATTACAAAGCAAAAACAAGAAACAAGAAGAAAAAATGAATCTTCTCTCTTCCCTTTTACCGTTTCAATCTCGTTTACAATCAAATTGATGGTGAAGTTGATTGCATCGATTCTCTGCTGTAGAATCTATGGTTGAAGCTGGAAGATCCTGGCCGAAGACTGTCAAAACTTTTTGGTTTCACAAAAACTTCTCCAGCCCATAAACCAGATTCTGCCAAGATAATTGAAAGTGAACATACATCCAAAACGAGTTGAAACGAATGCTTTTAAGGTACTGAGCTACAAAGATTGCAAAACCAATCAATTACCTTGAGGCGCACGACCTTCCTTATAGCCAAGATCAAGCCCGGCATGAGGCACTGGACTTCTGTGACGTCGTGCTTGATCGAGTAGATCTGTTGGTATTGATGCATCAAAAGGGTCAAAATTATCAGGTAGTGAAGAGAGAGAGGGAGAGAGTAGTTTTCGCTCTCCCAGAGACTGAAATGCAGTAACAGTCTCACCTCTCCAGGACCAGAAAAATAGACTGTTGTACTAGAGGGAAGCCCTGGAAGCACCATACTATGCACGCGAACCCCGTCCTCTCCCAAAACTTGGCCCCTTGCCTATCACAACAAGAAGTTTCAATACTTTTTTAGCAAGTGCTTTTCGCAAGAAGGAAGTTAAAGAAAGGTCAGTGAATCTTCTCTGTTTTCCGTCATCTGTTACACCTTTAATAGGTCTGAACTATGAACTATGAGAAAGAAACCAGGTAATTCCAATGTCAGTCTTTCTGTCTGTTTGTTCTCCTCCAACATCACCAACAAAATATTGTGAATCCCTTGTGGCCTAAATTCAGCAACACGAGTAGGCAAACTGAAAACATACCGCAACATCTGTCTCCATATCTTCTCTGTTGTACATCTGACCAAGATTTGAGAGGTTGTTCGCTATCTGGACTGCGTCTGCTGATGGTAGATCCTGTCGAAATGAAAGAATTTTCGGGCTTTCACAATATACGGTTGTTTTCAGCATTTCAATGAAGGCAAAACCTGATTTTAATTGCTAATAGAGTCACAACAAGTGCATAAAGGTATCTCTACATTCGAGCATTTCCTTATAATTGCTATTCAACCATATGCCCTACCCTACAAACATATCGACTTAGAGAGAAGAATCAAGTACTGCCACCTTGGAAATAATGATCATAGCTTTAGTCCAGGATGTTTTAAATGTCACAGTGCACCATTTCTGATGCACAATAAGAAGAATGAAGCTGGAGGGTGTTACTTCTTAAGAGAGGAGTTCATCAAATTTGACTAAGAAACATAGTTTCCCTCTCTTGCACAAGTGACATATCATCCAAATGAATCAAAGTACCATTTACCGGCTAAACGATCGACTGCCATATTGGTTCTCCTACAATTTACTAGAGACATTTTAGACTTACCCTTGCATTGGCCCTTGATTCGACAATCTCTACATTGTTGTAGTGGAAAGAAGCAGAAATCGCCGCCTGCTGGAGGAGAATGGACCCAATCGAAAGAGTCGGGGCAACTAGGCATCCCTGACCAACCAAGCTCTCACAAAAGTATTTAACTGATTCGAGGCAAAATAGCATGTCTAATTGTGAGCAAAACCTTATCTCATTCATTCAATAATGTCTCACCCTGTGCTCACCATGCTGGCCTTCTCACAAAATGCAGATAATGCTGTCACGGTATCCATTTTTATCCGAGGCACATATACCACACTTCTCATGCCGAATGCAATGGCCTATAAGAAATGGAAAAAGATGACTGAGCCACAGCCTGACATCACAAACTCGATGTATTTTCAAGACATTCCCTGAATCTTAAGATGCTTGACATTTCCTATTTAGCGTTGTTACCATATGTCAAGCTAAATTTGCATATGAAGAACGCTAAAAGGGAGCGACAAGCACTTTCATTGGAGGCAAAAGCATATATTTTGTTGTCGACATAATTTACAAAAAAAAGATACTGCATGCCAAAGTTGGGACCTGTTTCACATTGTCATAAACTGCGGAAGGGTCAGTGAAGTCAACCACCACTCCGGTTGCCTTCGCCTGAAAAAAGAAAGAAACCATAACTGAAAAACAGGACATTATTATAGAATTGAACTCGATGAATTGAATTCATAACTACCTGAGATATGGAGCCCAATACCATAGTGAGGTCACTGATTATGGGTATCTCCAGAGGTTCCATGTCACATAACTAAAGTAAACAAAAGGGATTCGATTATGCTGATAAAAAGCAGGTTTCTTGACTCTGGAAACAAAACTAGAAGGCATACTTATAGGTGTTCAAAAAAGAACAAGAAGAGACCTTTCCAATATCTTCTCCCACAAAATGGGAATCAACAGCACCAGCCACCTCCATTCCTCTGGCCTTGGTCACTGCAATTACTGCTGCTCGTCCAATCTCCTTGGCTGCTCCATTGATGACCACCTCTTAGGACAAGACAAAACCCAGAAACATCCTTAGTTCATTTTCTCTCCGATTGACTATCAGAGAGATCGATGCTTATAATTGATAAATGTTACCTTGATGTTCGGTTGAGATGGTTGAGCTGAACAAGAGATGGAAGGTCTGGTTTTGCCATACAGTCTCTCTCTGTACAGCGTAGAGTGAAATTGGCAGCTCAAAGCTGCCATGTCTGTGCAACTTTTGAGTAGACGAAGCTAGTTCTCTCTGCCAATTTCCATATGAGATGTAGCCTCATTGTGATGTGGATAACGTTGTTTTTCTTTTGCTTGATCCTGGGCCGTTAAAGTTTGATTTTTGATGGGCCTTGTTTGAGTGGACCCCTAGAGAAGCATGGCATTTTCATAGAATGGTGATCGTAATATATTTTCCTAACTTCGTTGAAATAAATCTGTGGAACCAATCTAACATAAACTATATGGTTCTTCTTTATATATTCTACAGTTCGATTGATGACTACTACTTAGTGAAATTTGTTAGAATATTTAAATAATAAATTACGTTTTCATCCAACAGTTAAGGCTTTTAGAACAATTGACAGTAGTTCCATATTATTTCACAAAATTGATGATTCTTCTTACGTTTATTTTCTCCGGTGATGTGGCACTTTAACATTTTTGTCACATTGAGGACTATAGTCTATAGCTAAAGCAGGTGAAATCTCAAACCATGTCTTGGTTTGAAGGAGGGATGCAAGGTCCATTCATATGGGCCTTCAAATGAAAGAAAGCTCATTCTCTCCGGAGTAAATTTTTTGGATGCATAAAGATTGATCAGAATAATCCATTTCATTCTTTTTACACCAGTCAATTTGTTGTGTAAACCCGTTTGTTTGAATGAAAACTGTTTGCGGGAAATTATTTTTCTGAACTAGTGTTTGGATGACGGAAAACTTAAAACAACAAACTTAAATCGAGGGAAAACAACTTCTCCTTTTTGGCAAAAAGAAAATCACTTGCCCTACACCGCCATATAAATGAAAACTAACCATTCTCCAAAAAATGATTTTCATGGAAGATATTTTTTATCATGAAGTTTTCAATGAAACAAATGTACCCTAAGATTGATTTTGATGTAAATCACTTCCCTTTTCTGGCAAAAAGGAAATCATTTTCTCTATACCACCAAATAAATGAAAACTAACCATTCTCCTAAAAATGATTTTCTTGGAAGATATTTTTTATCATGAAGTTTTCAATGAAACAAATGTACCATAAGATTGATTTTGACGTAAATCACTTCCCCTTTTTGGCAAAAAGGAAATCACTTTCCCTACACCACTAAATAAATGAAAACTAACCATTCTTCCAAAAATGATTTTCATGAAAGATATTTTTTATCATGAAGTTTTCAATGAAATAAATGTATCCTAAGATTGATTTTGAAGTATAAAACAAAAAACACCCCAAGATTGGTTGTGAACTATAAAACAAAAAGTTACTCTGAGAAGTATTCAGCACCTGCTGCATCGTCTCAGGCAAATTGCCCACCAAATGCTGGACCTCATGACAGCTCATAACTTCAATAGCTCAAAGCCCACAAGAAGTTGAAAATAAAAAGACAGAAAGACTCACATGAGGGTTATGTATGCCAATTTCAGAGGTTCATACTCGTTTGTCTTCATAAATTCTGTGGATAACTTCTTGTTATCTTAGCCAAAATACCCACGTACACGTTACCCTTATCCAACGAAGCTAAAATCTCTTTTGACGGTTCATTGCATCCTGAAACCTTAAATCTCGACGTGATAAGACATGAATTTTCTCAACTATGAAGCTTACGCAACTTTTGTTGACAAGTCTCACGTCCTTCATCAGTCATCTAAGTAGTTACTATTTTTTACAAAGTAAAGCCATCCATATCAACGGTGATATATGCGGGATATATTAGCACTATGTGTTCAGCCGATATTTATCCTATATGACTATAGTCCATATTAAAGCGATGGGAAAAAGTCATCAAAAACCTTAAACTATGTCCACTATGATACATCTATCCAAAACTTTTTGTGGTACGACATATTTATCCTAAACTTGTACTAGTGTGACACATTTACTCCAACCTTTTTCCTGTGACATCAAAAACCCTAAATTTGTATTTGTGTGACACATTTACCTCAAAATTTGGGATAGATGTGTCACATCAGTACGAGTTTAGGGTTTTCGATTTCACAAAAATATAATATGAGGTAGATGTGTCACACAAGTATCAATTTGGAGTTTTTGGTGTTACAAAAAAAAGTTCAGAGTAAATGTGTCACATGGGTACAATTTTGAGGTTTTTAGTGTCACAAAATTTTTTTTGGGATAAATGTTTCACAGTGAGT